CATTATACATCAACAGAACACAAGTTAAAAGAAAACAATTTGCAGACAAATAGAATTACTTTTATCCATCTTAAACTCTGGACAGATCGTCCAACTTTACTGTTTCTTCTCCTTAAAGGCCTCGAGGAAAATGGTAAGTTAGCCTGATAAGTTTCTCCATTGACACTGGAGCGAGGGCTTATTTCTCTTCCAAAATGAAATAAGCCAAGCATAAGCATAGTAACATATTTTAATGACGTTGCTGTATATAAGATTTACAACTGATGCAATTCTGGGATTCCTAATCTATTCACATGAAAAGTAGCACTGCTTTAACTCACCAGCTCAAAGACCAAAATCGTCCTTCCAACTGTAAACCACAATGTTCAGCTGAGGTCATAAACTACTAATAAATATCTAATACTATTCATTTCAAATGATGTGCATTTTATGCTACATGGCTTTCAGCATCTAAAATCAGATTATGTAGACAGTCAGAATTTGACTTTTCATATCTGTCAGTGTGTTTTTGATCTACAGAAAGGAAATCATGTTCTGACTTCTCATGCTGTGGTGTTCAAACACACCTGTAGCAGCAGAAAAGAAAGGATCCTGGGTTGGTATTACAGAAACACCCTAACTTTCAAACCTTGTCTCATCTGTTTAGTCACCATGACTAAACAGCTTCACTTAGGAGCAGATTTAGGACAGTAGCTATTATAGTGTAACAGTTCCTAAGTTCATAATCTAAATCTAACTCCAGATAAGAAAACAGTATTACAGAAACATCATAAACAGACAAAATTTCCTTCCAAAATTAGGCGTGTTGCAGTGACTCAGAGTGGTACGTACAGCACTTTGAGAGATTGCAGCGCTTCTCTGGACCCTCTCTGTGGCTGGTGTGTAACAACAAACAAGTAGGTTTATCTCATGATGTGTTTATGTAGATCTCTTATGTACATCACATTTCACACTGCATGCTTAAATTCCTTTTGCCACTTTGCACGAATTTATTTTCGCAGCAAAACAAATTTACATTTATAAGCTTATAACGCACAAAATCATTTTATAACCATGGCTGTACTCAGACATTAGCACAACACTGTAGCATGTTTTCACTCCATTCATCCCTAAACGATCCGTTTCTGCATATAGCTGTAAACACGTATAGAGATGTTGTAAACTACAGCTAAAGCTTACACTGAATGCAGGGCATTCAAACACACTGCATGGGTTTATGCATCTGAACATGCACCGAGTTCAACTTCAGGTCAAAAAAGATATGGTCCGAACAAGTTAGAAAATGTGGCTGCATAAGAGCATGTAGGACAAAACCAAACCAAAATAGTCCTTTTGATTTACAGCAGCTCACTGTCTTTGTATCATAGCCTTCCAGCACTTGGCCTTCTTTGTTTCCACATTCTCTGATTGCTTGACCTGATTCCTCTATACTGATCTAAACTGGCTCCTACAGCTCATCATTTGTTTTACTTTTGTCTTGAATCTGTGTAGGAAAAGAAACCTGGCCGTGCGCACCTCATAGAACACCACACTGAGACCCCACCATCCGTTGTACGCACACAGCCATACCCATACCCATAAGTCCATGCTCAAGATGGGGGTAATCAAGGAGTCACACAGTAACTGGAGCAGCCTCGTGGTGTTTGTGCTTGTGTTCGGTTCTGTGTTGACTACAGAAAAGTCAATGCGATGTCTAAATTTGCTGCCTATAAATGTTTTAAATCTATTTTTATTTCTGTCATAAATGACTGGTGCTTATGTGAAAAATGAAACTGCAAATGTAGGTACTTCATTTCATTTTCAGTTTTGGCAGGATATTTGCGCAGATGTTTGGAAAAAGAAATGGCAAAAAGAGGTTTGCATTTACATTTTATTGTTTTAATTTTTTATTTCTTTTTGGCTCCCAGACCAGTTATTTACACAGAAAAATCACCGAAATCACGAGTGTATTCTAGTGTCCATATACCTGTGAGACGCACGTGCAGGTAACAAAATACTTCTTAACTTGAACCTGAGCTCATCAACACCAAACCCCGTTAAATGTCGAGAGTCCAGTTTCTGAATGAAATTCGAAACGAAAAATTGAACGAACAAAAGATTGACGGACCTTAGTTGAACGAAGCTCTTCTCTATTTTTAGATTTGTGCTGAACATCTGAGATGAAGGACATTTTTGATCTGAAAACGGTGTTTTTCTCAGATATGGAGAGATGACTATACAGACTTATCCATACCAAAACCACGATCACATTTCAGTCAAAAATATAGAGCGCTTTATTAACTGTTCTTTCGCAGTTTGTCATTATCTTTCTTTATCTGTCATTATTTTTCACCTTCTCCTTTAATTTTATCCATTTCTGTGTGAATTACTTATTTAAGCATCATGAAATTGTCTTTATCAGCAGATCTTCAGTGAGTCAGACACAGCATTTAACCTCGTTGTAGGCGTTTACACAGATACTGTGTTATGTGCTGATGGAAACATTCAGGACAGCTACACAGAGTTTAAAGTAGGTATAAATGACACGAGTGTTCAAATTAAGATTAATGTAAAGTTTTCACTGCAACTTCCACAGATAAAAATACTTCATGTAGTTTCTAATTTAAACAAAGGCCTCAGTGTCAATGATCTCGATCTCTAATTCCTCACACCAGAGCAGGAAAGCAGTGAACCAGCTGTGTAAGAGTTTGACTTCCTGTCGATGTTTATTTCTGTCTGAACAATGTGGCCACATTACAAAACATCCAATTCCTCGAGGTTCCTTTGTGTGTGAACGTGATCTGTAACGCGGTTACCTGCTGATGTTTTGATGAATATCATTAACATACTTCTGCTTCATTAATTGTTTTCATGATTAGCTGTCAGTAGGAAACATTTCATTTAGTGACAAAGTAAACGTTAAAATATGTACCTTAAAGCTCAGGAGACTCACCTCACTCTCCTTCATCACACTGAGTTCATTTTTGTGTGGCTTCATGTCAGACATTTTATCTTCTGTCATACAGCTCACTGAGTGTGGATGATCTCAAAGAAATGGGACGTGAGAAAGCTGTAAGTGTTCATACTGTGGGTGTGTAGCATCACCTGCTGGTTAAAATGGGAACTACAGGATGAAATGAGCAAATGACTCAAATACAACCCACGCAGAAAAATACATATTTACAACACAGAAAATATGTGATAAATGTTCTATACTATCTATAAATAAACACACATATCTGAATGGATTATTTACATTGCAATATATTCTTGAATATCAGTGGAAATGTTTGTTTTCTAAAAAAATACTATGATATGTTTTGAAGAAAACACTTCAATATTCAACACTGTTCAACTGATTTAGAAGCAGAACTATGAGAAACATTTAGCACATTCAACTGTTTACTCATAATGAGAAATTACAACAAATACAGAGCAGTTTCTTACAACTTTACTAATAAAACATGTTTACATCAAATTATTGTTGTCTTTGATTCATTACTCTTCATATACAGACATTCAATAATAGATTTTAACAGTTATTTTTAAAATATTTGTTTATAGATGTGGGTGACATTTTTTGGGCCAATTTCAAATATTTGTATTATTCTAAAAATATATATTAGAAATTTGTTTCAAAACATTGTTTTTCTATATGAGAAAATATGGGTTTAACAATCACATAGACATTTACAGCATAATGAAAAAATAATCCTCAATCTCTGCTGATCTGAATCACTCTGAAGATGCTCTCTTGGCTTTATTCTGTTATGTTCACATGTTCACACTAAAAATGCCTGCAAACCGTAAAAAGAGACTGACAGACAGACAGAGGGACAAACAGACATTCTGAGTTGCACCACTGGGGAGCAGCACTGAACCGTGAAAGAACAAAGAAGTTGCAAAAGTCATAAACATCATCAGTGCTGTCATATAATGATCAGAATCAGCTTCCATGAGTTTTACCTGAATCCTGTTTAATGGTGTGGAAAATCTGAGTCGCTCATCCAAGATCACATCTAGTGAAGCATGTTTAATACTCATCATTATGATTACTGTTTTATACGGCCACTTAAAAAGCATTTTCCAGTGCCTAGTTCACTTTTCCAAACTCATTGCAGCAGAAAAACACAACAGAATGATAAATCCACTATATAGAAACGAATTAAGTAATAGAAAAAAATAATGCTCACCTGGTCTGTATCATTTGGCCACATGTTCTCATTACAGATAAAATCCTCTCTTTATTCTCACCCACATCAGAGATAATGTCCACTCTTTATTCTCGTCCACATCAGAGATAATGTCCACTCTTTATTCTCGTCCACATCACAGATAATGTCCTCTCTTGTTTATACACAGTGCTGGGTTCATTATTAACACAATAACTCCAGAGGTGACCCCTTTTTATATGATCAACACCTGTTTAGGACCTCAGCTGAGACAGAAATCAGCCTTGATTGGCTGATTTCATTTCATCAGCAGTTTAATCAGCAGTTTTTCTCTGTAACCATTATCATTATTTGGTGATTTCACACACTAATATGCAGGTTATTTTCATGTTAGATTCTGGACTTCAGTGTAACAGTTTTATGACGGGCTACAGGAAAAAAGGCTGAGAATGAGTGAGAAGAGAATTAAATAATTTGGGAAATTGTGCTCACTGAGTGCATTCTGTATTTAAATAACATAAAATAAAATAAAATAAAATAAAATAAACAGATCATGGTTTGGTCCTCAGGGTGTTACTGAACCGTGTAGAGTTTTGAGAAACAGAACTCAGAGCTGAAAAAGCTTGTTATCAATATTTAAACTCTGCACTAAAGAGCTCAGCAGCTGTATCACTTCAGTCTGATACTAATGATGTGAGGATGAGCTACAAACACATTGAACGCGGAAGTTCTCACCTCCATCCACTTAGAGCAGAGACGCTCTGCAGACATTAGTCCTGATCTTCTCTCAGCTCCACATGTAGATCAGACTGACTCTGTCTGAGTTTGAGCTCCACTCAGACCTGCAGGATGAGGACTGTTTATCTGGGAATGCTGCTCTTATTCCAAAGCGCTGTTTCCTCCTTAACGGAGTTCAGCGTTAAAGGAGAGATCAGGAACTTTGCTGTTGGAAACGGGAAAGTGTTCGTCGTCACCGACTCTCAGCTCCTCCAGATGAGGCTCGATCTAGTAGAGGAAAAACACAAGGACATATCTGACCACACACATCACCAAGTTAATATTTTACTGCCTTTCGACGCGAATAAGACCCTGATAACCTGCGGAACCTCTGACTGTGGATACTGTGAACTCCTGGACATCAACGACATCAGCAGAAGTCTCTACAGGGAGGATGTGTCGGTCGGACCATCTGTTAATAAATCATCTGTTTCTTTTATTGTAGATTTTGATGAAGGTAAAGAAACTTATATGTTGGTTGCCAGAGAAAAGATTTCTGATCATTGTATCTCCGATGATGAAGGAGTGTCTCTGCGGAACACTCTGGACTCTCAGTCAGGAGGAATTTTCTCTAAAGTAGCCTCTTCAAACGAAGCCAGCATTTCTCCACAGAGTGATGCTGAGTGGATTGACGGCTTCCAATCATCTCCTCCCTCTCACTCGTACCTGCTGGTGAACGTTAAGTCTGGAACAGGTCCAGCTGTGGTGGTCTTAAGGATGAAGAACAGCCGCAGTAAAACAGAAATGACCAGATCTCTACAAGGTGCAGTGCTACAGTGCTGTGATGATAAAGACCGTAAAAAGCTCTTATCCTCCTCTGCAGTTCTCTCCTCTGGATCTCCTCTTCTCTGGGCGGGAATATTCACTGCGCAAGAAGCGCACGACCCCCAGAACACTGCTTTGGCCATTTACGACCTCAGTCAGCTCAGAGACCGAGTACCTTCATATTTCAGCTGTAGACCACATTGCACAGCTCAGGTGAGAAACTGCTAGTAAATAAACTATAATTTATGATTTATATTTAAATGATCTGCACTTTATGCTTCATGTCACTCAGCCTCTAAAATCAGAATCTGTAGATCAGTATCTGTCATCTCTTTCTCTCAACATGTTTCTGGTCTCTGCAGAAAGGAGGTGATGCTCTGAGTCCTCGTGCTGTGGTGCTCAAACACAGTTCAATGTCATCTGTAGCAGCAGAAAAGAGAGGATCCTGGACTGAGCTCTACATCGGAACTGCAAATGGACAACTGATGAAGGTCAGACTTTCTGTCCATCTTCTAATACATAATAGAATATGATTCTCTCTCTCTCTCTCTCTCTCTCTCTCTCTCTCTCTCTCTCTCTGTCTCTCTCTCTCTGTCTCTCTCTTTCTGTCATGCGATTTTCTTTACTTTTTCTGTATTTCTCCTAAACCTCTTCTACACATAATTGTTTTCTTTATTTAGTTTAATATTTATGAGTTTTTAAACATTATTTAGAGATCACTGTATCCAGTCTTACTATTGGGTGCTATACAAAACATACCATAATGTATTTTATTACAAAGGAATATTGTTTTTTTTTATGTGTTTCCAGATTGTGCTGGACAAGGCTTTTAATTCTGGCTGTGTGACGTTGCTGTACAGCTCTGATGATGGCAGGATGGTGTTTCCCAGAATGCACTTTGACCCAGTGGATCATACATACATCTACATAGCTTTGAGAAATCAGGTGAGTCTTAAGTCCCATTCGAGCTGGATCAGTATTACATGGGGACGTGGTGTAATTTGAGTCATTACTGATGAGCACCATGATTTTAATCCAGTAGGTGTGGATCTGCCATGTCTGTAGTTTTTACATGTCTGCTAAGTAATAATTCCAGAGGGAATTAACTCCTATAATTCGCCAAACTCAGAACTCCACAGTTATACTAGTCCTTTTCGAATCAACATCTCAGTGATGTAATGACAAAAGTGGGTAATGGAAAATGGTTGAGGCTGAAGTCAGCTTCCTATTCGCTTCTTGTTGGAATTTTCCTGTTCCATCTTAAATGGTGCAGCAGGTACATTCCGGCGACTCATTTTCAGCTTCTTAGAAAACAGCACCTCCCTTTATTTTCCTTTTTTGTGACCTGAACGCAAAGCTAACAGCTACAACGGAGCTTAATTTAACCCAGTTCATTAATCCTCAGGTTTATGACGAACTACTGAAATCCACGTTTTTGGTAATGCTAGCTTATTTGACGCTTAGCCGCACAACGTGTTGTTATTGTTAAGAAGTGTGGCGCCTGTCACATAATGTTGAGGCAAACATCTGTGCAATGTCGTTTCAACCCAGGCTATTTGTTGTAACTTGGGGAATTTATGGAGACCCTTTATCACGTATGAATTGGCCACAAATCACAGATGTAATCGCAAATTACATTACCGGACCTCCTCTGGCAAAACCGATCCAGCTCGAATAGAGATTTAGGCCTACACACCTATCATCTCCTGACATATACAGTGTTGAAATGTCACACAAAAATATGGATTTTTGGAAAGAATCAAATAAAGTAAGTGATCATATCTGGTGCAAATAGTCATACCTATTTCCACTGCTGTCTGGAAATAAGTATAAATAATAAATGAGGTTTATCCAGGAGGCAATGCTCAAGGTGTGAAAGTTGATTGCATGACTAAACAACAGTTTAAGGAAATGGTATGTATGTGTGTGTGTGTGTGTGTGTGTGTGTGTGTGTGTTGTAGATCAGGCGGGTAGCAGTGTCTCAGTGTAGTATATACAGCACTTTGACAGACTGCAGAGCTTCTCAGGACCCTTCCTGTGGCTGGTGTGTAACCACAAACAAGTAGGTTCCTCTGCTGTCCTCTTCATGCCTCTCACACCTCTCAAACTACACACTGCATCTGTTTTTCTACTTTATGTAACCCAGACTCAGCCCTACTCTGCGGAACAATGACAGAATCTGCATCATTTTATTCTGCATAAGAACTTTCACAGAGCAACGGTCAGGTAGCATTAGACCTTTAGCAATCCCCTCGCAGATATACCTCGTGCATCAGCGTGGGATGGAAAAAGGAAGGTGAGGGTGTGAAGAGTGGGTGGCCACAGCTTAAGAGAAGCAGGGCCTGTAATTCTAAAAACAATATTCTGTTAAAACTACCAATTGACCATGCATTACACTGCTATGATGGTAGAAGAAAAAAAAGATGTAGTCAAAAAAACTGACTGGGCAGATTTTACGATGTACAAAGACTGTGATAATGCGCACCAAACAGTTCTGTCTATGTGTGCAGCCAAATGTGTATATCTAGTGTTTTAGAATGATTTTATAATGACTTCAAACACGCCTGAGGCTCGTTTTAAAATGGAAACTATCTGTTAAGAGCTCAGGAAGATTAAACACATGCAGGCATCAAAACAGCACCAGAAACTCATGTTGTCCTCGAACCAAAGAAGTTCTACAGTGAGAAGACCAAGGTTATTCTCTCTTTGGTCCATTTAGACATCTTTGCTCTATATTGCGTTCACACTTAAAATCACCCGTACCAGAGTTCGGATGACAGCATTCTCACTTGAACTGCACTATGGGTGCTTTCACATCTACCTGGTTTGGTCCAGACCTATTTTAAGTTTTTTTAAGTTTCGTCCGGACCTATTTAACCTTTTTTTTGTTTGGTCTGATTAGACAGCGCTGTACTGTCTGCATAATCTGTCTATTTTAATGTCTGATATATGTTCTTTCAGCCCAAGCTTCTGTTAATAACAGCAGACAAACAATAAAATAATATCCAAAGAATGCATATAATTTTCGGAAAATAAAAAAGTTGTCAAAACCAGAGATGTTTCCTCAGTAATGCCTTTATTAAAGTCCTCTCCACATTTCCTCTCACCAGCCATCTCTTAAACATCTCTCAAATGTCCCGATAACAGAGAGAAACATATTTTCTATAGTTATTTATTTGTTTTACTGATACTTGCTAAATAGCCATTCAGTAAAATTCTTCATAATCCAAACTAGAAACAATACTTAATAAGAAATAAAACAAGCTATTTCATTTGGGTAATTGTGATAAACATTTTAGAGTTGTGCTTCCTGATCTAAGCCTGACTGGCCCAACAAAATACTAGCTTGGGCTGTGAGCTGATATTTTATATACAACTTTGGGCTCAGGCTGGGTTTGCTTTCTTATGAGTGATTTTCTTATGTAGTAGATTTACTTCTTTGCAGTCGTGCATTTTTCACTTACACTCTCTCTTTTGCTAGCCACAGACATCAGATCAAGACAGTGTAAAGAAAAGATGCCCTCAGCTAAAGATATTTAGAGTGTTCTGAATTTGTATCGGGACTATATGGGACGATAACAACTGAAGTGAATTGTGCTTTTGTCACACTGTAACCCATGACAGCACTAACATGAAATTGCTTGTAATAGGATATTTGGTTGTAATATACTCAGTGGTTACTCATTTCACTCATACTCATTCTCATTTTTATGTGCACAATGTACATAAAAACAAAATGCATTGATGTGCAAATAATTCAAACCCTACATTTAATTAAAAATAGTACAAAGACAACATATCTAATGTTGGAACTGGGAATTTTTTAAATACATGCCCATTTTGCCTCTATCAGCATAGAAACTGAAGTTTCTACAGTAAAATGATAATCATTAGAAATCAAAGATGTGACCAATCACAAAGCAGTACAGATGCTTTTCTCCAACATAACAGAATGCAATTAAGCGCTAAAAAGGAGTTAGTAATTAAATGTTACTGACTCGCATGCAAAGTAAAACGAAGTTTCCTTTCCTCACAGATATACTTTAGTAGACGGAAAGAAAATCATCATTTAAAATATTCAGGAATGTACAAATCTAAATTTGTACAAAATTTTATTTGAGTAAATAGAACTAGTTAATACCCACCTCTTTTTACTAAACTTAAAAACTTACATTTAACAAAACGTCATTTAGCAAGAACATTACACCTAATAAATTGCAGTTGCTCATTTCTTGTCTTATGTGATTCTTTTTCTCCTTTGGGTCATTCTAGGTGCTCCACCAAGGATGAATGTTCCAACTCCATTTGGATCCCCATTCCTGAAGACTTTTTTCAGAAGGAGCTGATCACATTTCAGGTGGCCAAAGTCTCTGGAAAGGTAACTGATATTATGTTTTCAATTGATACGTCAAAATGATTTATCTTGAATTTAGCCCTATTTTTATATGTTTTTATCTACTGTGTTGTTCTCATTCAGCTCAGTCTGAGTCTCTACCTGACAGCACAGGGCACAGTAGGTCCTCCATTAAAATGCAGCATTAAGGCAGGGAATGTGGATCTGTGTGACAACCTGACCTTAGTTTCACCAAACAGCTGCTCCTGCAGTTTCTCCAGCCAACATCTGCCTCCTGAAGGTCGGTGCAATCTCAGTTTGGCTTATGATTGTTTTCAGAACTTTCAGAGTTCATTGTCTACTTTACAGTGACAAGAGTCCATTTCTAAAGAAGGTGTACTTTCCCTGCAGCAGGGTATAAATTAGATCGCTAGGCCTGCTCACCACTTAAATAGCATAATAAAGCTCAATTAGTAAGAACACTAAGGAAGTGAATGGAGTGAATGATCTTAAAGTGAATGGTCTGAATTCATGTGTAGTACTGTGCAAGTCTTAGGCATCTAGAAAGAAATTAGTTACAAATTTTAAAAATTGTTAAAAAAATGCTAATATTAGAATAAATACAAATAAAAAAATATAGCTATTTTGTGTGTGAGTGTTAGCTAAAGTATGTCCAGATCTCTCCTTGAAAAAGTCCAATATTTACAGTTACCATCCAATACCTGCTTCAGCTAATCAGTCCTTCATTAAATCGAATCAGGTGCTGCCGATGGAATCATCACTCTCCAGAAAAAAATCTCAATTTTTTTCTACATCCTGTAAACACAGCAGCTGCCATTTACATTGTGTGAAAAATTCATGATTAATGGTCTGAAAGAAATTATTTCAAATAAAATCTGTTTACATTTACTCACACTAAAAGTTTTTTTTTTTTAAAGTTACAACAGGTAAAACCACCTAAATGCTTTTGCTTTCTCCAATTTTGTTTCTTTGTTCGTTTTTGGACAGTGTCAAAAGACACTCTTGACTTCTCGATCGCTGAAGAGCACTTAACTTTTAATAATAAGTCTTTTAACTTTTTACTGTATTTATGTTGGGCGGCACGGTGGCGCAGTGCGTAGCGCTGTTGCCTCACAACAAGAATGGCCTAGGTTCGATTCCCAGCTGGGTGACCAGGGTCATTTCTGTGTGGAGTTGGCCTGTTCTCCCCGTGTCTGCGTGGGTTTCCTCCCACAGGCCAATTGAACATGCTAAAATTGTCCCTAGGTGTGTGAATGTGTATGTCTGTCTGTCTGCCCTGTGATGGACTGGCGACCTGTCCAGGGTGTATCCTGCCCTCTGCCCAATGATAGCTGGGATAGGCTCCAGCACCCCACCGCGACCCAGAAGGATAAGTGGTTTAGATGATGTGTGTGTGTTTATTTGTCTTACATTATATAGTGTTTTACTGGGAAAAGGACACTCACTGCCTACATAAATAGTTTTAATCAGTTTTCTTGGCTGCCTAAGACTTTTGCACAGTATTGTATGTACTTATTTTCATCAGTGAATCAAACAATACACCAGGAATCAAACAATATTCAGAGTCCACATTCTCTATATCTGAACTTGTGTAACCAGAATATGATACTCTGCTTTGTGTGTCCAGGACTCAGAGTCACAGCAACTGTCACTATTGGAGATCAGAAAATCACAGAGAACCTGAAAGTGAGGAGCTGCCCAAACATCACAGAGACATCACCATATGCTGCGTAAGAGGAACCAGATTCTTACAAAACTCTCTAAGCAGCTGTCCCTTAATCAGATTAGGTTTGTGACATTGGGCCACTTTAAGGCCACTTCTTTTTTTATTGAGTTAGTATATTGGAAAAAATAAAACATGAAATGTAAAATGTTCCATCACCTTAGCACAGGTCACATTTTATGTTTTCTTTAATACTTGTAATTCAACAAATCAGTAAGTGTGCATTTAAATGTGTAGAAATGTGTTCACTGTAGATGATGTGCAACTTATTTTCAATTAGAAGCTCAATAAAGCATGTGATTTGACCAGGGGTGCACAAACTTTTACATACGACTGTGTTTGTATGTTTTCTATGCAGATGTGCAGCGTGTGTGTCAGTTGGGTGTCACTGGTCTCCTGTTAGTCAGAATTGCAGCTGGACTCAGGGTTCCGCACTACAGGTACACATACAGGTGAGTTCATGTAACACATTAGTACAACATACAGGTGAGTTCATGGTGTATATAGACCAGAGGTGTGGACTTTGATGACTTGAAACTCGACTCAAGAAAATCAAGAAAGACTTGTGACTGGACTTTGTCTTCAACACCAATGCCTCAGACTTTGACTTGGACTTCCGCCTTATGATTCTGAGAGAATCGAGACCCAAAGTGGAGGTAACATGGAGGCTTAGTGGTAGTATCAATGCATACCTCACCACAATGCTGACATTTGCTTCTTATTCCAGCGTTCCGTTTCACTTTAAATGGTGCTGCAGTTACATTCTGGCACCAATGTGGCATTTGTGAAGAGTTAGTTAGCTTAGATTCCAAATGTGATATTCACTAAATAATGTTAAAGGTTTTATTCTGTTAAATCTCAGATGTGTTGTTTAACTTCATATGTGCTGTTTAACTAGAGCTATGTCTGACTAGTCGAGTGAAACTTCTTTTCCTGTCTTCTTTTCTTGTTGTGATCTTTGATCTGTTTGTCATGTAGATTCATGCTGGTCAGCTCTGCAAACATATTTAGTGAGACTACAGGCTTCAGATCAGCCAAAATCAAGAAAAGCAGGTAGAAAATGAGGATTCATTAACTGTTCTGAACCAGCCTATACAGGCTAATTCTTCCACAATGGTGGATCATCCCTAAGTCACTCCAGCATGACATCACATTCCCAAGCCCTATAGATGTAGTTCACCGTGAGGAGCAGAGAGACAGAAGAGTGAATGTTCTGCACTTTTATTCACAGAGACAACAGCACAGGAAGTAGTCAGTATGTGGGCACATATACTGGAGTGAAACATTTTTCCTCAGTGCAGTTTTTCATATTAATAAGTTGTTTACCATGTGCTGGATGCTGTAAAATGTCAATCTCTCAGACTTGCAGTGTCAGTATAAATATCAAGTCTAAGAGAGCGACATTTTACAGCATCCAGTGTGATTTAAGACAAACATTTTAACCACTTTTCTCTCCTCTGTAGGATGCATGTAAAGAATTCTTTTCTGAGAAGTACACAGTAAGTGAATTTACCCACAATATTAGTAGAAATGAGAGCTATTTCTGTCAGCGGGGAGCTGAGATTTAAAAGGGAAGCTGTGCAGAGTGGAGTTTGTTTAGGTAAAAGAGTTCTGGCCTTTTGAATATGAATGCATCGATACTGTTACTGGTAGCAAGTATCTGTCTGATACCATGCTCTTTCACTCGTACTTGTCCTCATAAAAAATTAACTGAAACCAAGTTCATTTAAAAATGCCACCAAAGCCTGCATATGCCAACTCTACTGTATTTGACTGAATAACATTGTGAAGTATAAATGTAAATATGTTGATTTTTAAAATTGTCTTCTTACAGTAGGCTGTACAGAGACTGTACAGAGACCGTATTGTCCTACCCATGTATATCACCAGTTCCAAAAAAGTTGGAACAGAATGTGAAACGCTAATTAAAACAGAAAGCAGCAATTAGTAAATTCTCTTTGGTCTGTATTAAATTGAAAACAGCACAGAAACACAATATCTGATGTTTTACTCTATGAATGTTATTGTCTGTTGTAAACACACTCATTCCAAATTTGATGCCTGCAACACATTCCAAAAGAGTTGAGACAGGAGCATGTTTACTACTGTGTTATATCACCTTTCCTTTTAACAACACTTAACAATCATTTGGGGACTGAAGACACAAGCTCATCCAGTTTTGAAAGCAAAATTTGTTGCTATTGTTCTGTTATACAAATCTTTAGCTACAACCATACAGGGCCTTTGTTGTTGTATTTTGAGCTTAAGAAGACACATTTTCAATGGGAGAGTGCAGACAGCACTCTAGCACCTGCACTCTCTCTGATTACATAGCCATGCTATTACAACATGTGCAGAACGTGGCCTGGTGTTGTTATATTGAAATAAGCATGGATGCCCCTGAAAAAAAACAAAAAAACAGCAACTAAAAGGCAGCATATGTTGCTCCAAAATGTGTTTAGTGTTAATGGTGTCTTCACAGACATGCAAGTTATCAACTAATTCCCTCCATACCGCAATAGACTCTGATTTTTCAACTGTATGCTGGTAACAATCTGGATGGTCTTTTTCTTTTTTAGCCTTTGACACAACATTCATTATTTCCATAAACATCTAAAAGGTTGACTCAGGCCCAATACACACTTCCACTGTGCATCAGTCCATTTCAGATGAGCCTGAGCCCAGAGAAGTCAGCAGCATTTCTGAACATTGTTCACATATGACTTCTGCTCTGCATAGCACATTTGTGGATGCAGCTACGAACAGTGTTTGTTGACATCTTTTTTCAAAGTATTTCTGAACCCATGCAGCGATATCCGTCATAGAAACATGCCAGTTTTTAACGAATTGCCATCTGACGGATTTGAAGGTCTCGACTGTAGTCTTCGGCCTTGTGTTTTCTGCACAGAGATTTCTCTGGATTCCCTGAAACGTCTGATGATATTATGCACTGTACAGGGTGAAATGCCTAAAATCCTTGCAATTGTTTACTGAGGAACATTATTTTTAAACTGATGGTGAATTTTTGGTGAAACCCATCCTCGCTCATTAAAGTCTTGGCCTTTCCTGGATGTTCATTTTATATCCAAGTATACGTAACCTACTTGGAATTAAGTAGTTTTAGTGTAAATGAGTGCAATGTGCCATAACAGTTAATTCATTGGTAACATTTATTTTGATGGTCCATGGTAGATGCTTTGTAGATGCACAGTGTGGTTTTAACTTCAGATAAATGTCTATTAAATGCAACGGAACTTGAAGTGTGATAGATTCAATTAAATCTAAGCCTAAACCTAACCCTAACCTTAACTTCAAGGCAAAACCTACACACATACTCCAAAGCCTAACCCTAACCATAATGCTGTTGATATTCAAGTATCATCAGAGAGTTTATCAATAATTTAAGTATCCTTATATCATCTGTAGAGACCCATCAAGTGTTCCAAATCATTAAAATCCAGCTGATTTTAAATGATCATGTGACATGGCTCATTCGGTGTGCAGTTAAACATGAAACAATAACATATTTTGAAGTTAAAATAAAAAATTACATGAATGCAATCTTTTTAATTTTCTACATATAATGTGACTGAAACTATAGTGGCAGTGGATTATATTTTAAAAAAGCTCACATTTTAGTCATTTTGTCAGTGGTGTTACAATTAGTGGTGATACAATTATACCGATCAGTATAAACGACATAAGTTTTACACTTAAATTTAATTATTAACATTCGTATCCTAATTGCCACCACAATAGTAGAATGATCCTGCTATTGATTTCATAGTCACTGTCTAAATTCTTCTTTCTTTGTCCTAATTATCAGCCAGAGATCCTTTCCATGTTGCCTAACCAAGTCTCACTTTATGGCAAAAACAATGCCATAATAAAGGGGAAAAATCTGGATACGGTTGTGAAAATTCGCTTACAGGGGTCTAAGGAGTGCGAGTTAAAAGAGTGAGTATGTGCTTAGTCAGACATGTACACAACAAACACACACACACACACACACACACACACACACACACATATAATATATATATATATATATATATATATATATATATATACTCACATGCAAACTTGCTTTTCTCTTTGATTACTTCAAATGCGGTTAATTTGCAGACAGCCTTTTACAGAAAGAAAAGTCAGTGTCGTCATTCCACTCAGCACTGACGGCTTCAAACCATAGAAAAGCATTGATAAACTAGTTTGTGTTTAATGGGAGATCAAATATTCTCTATAAGGAGTTTAAATCTGGACACTGACCAGCCCAAGACCATGTGTAAAAACCATTATATTTTGGCCTTGGCGCATATTTTTGCTCTTTGATTTCTCCTGAAAAGTTGCCATTTTGGAGATGTCGTATGTACTAACATTCGTAATTATACATCTAATGTTTCCAGGACTCCAGTGTTGGAGCGCTCCACTGACACTCTGAAGTTCAGTATTCCGAGCGGAAATAAAGGAACTGTGAGGGTGTGTGTGGTGACAGAAGACGGCCGTTGTCATAGTAACGCCACCATCACTTATGGCTCCCAGCCCACCTGTACTGGACTGCAGCCTAGAAACACCTGGGCCAGGTAGAAAAAAGACATTCTGCACATTAAAAATAATCACTACTTCTAATTCAGTTCTTCAGTTTTAACAAAGTTCTGAGTGTTTTATTAAATATATTCAACCCACTGGTTCTGAGGATGAAATGCTCTTTAGTTTTTAACTGCGTAAAACTTGTTTTCTGTTCTTTGAGTTGTCCTCTTCTCTCTGTAATGAAATTAAGACTTACATGGCAAGTGTCAGGGTCAAGTGTTTTAAAGGCATTATTGTACCATTTAATGGAGCTGGTAACTGTGATTAAATAAAAAAAATACAATTACACATATGCATACAGTTACATTTAAAAACATATTTAACACAATGTCGTATTTTTTTCTCTTTTTTCCTGCTGCTGATGTGTGATATTTACTGTGTCGGTCAGTGGGGGGAGGAAGATCGAAGTGCTGGGCAGCAGTCTGGAGTACGTGGAGAAAGTCATAGTAAACGATAAAGAAATGAGCATCAAGTCAAGCACTGTGGTAAAGTATCTGCACACACTTTTCTCATTTTTCTCTGCTCAGCTAAACAACTACAATACTCTTCTGAGCCTCTCTGATACAGATCTCACCTGTATATTCATTCAGAGCTGAGACTTTTATTTTCATCATCTTCATTATACTTCATTTGACCTGTTTTTGCTCTCTCTCTCTCTCTCTCTCTCTCTCTCTCTCTCTTTCTTTCAGGGTGTCTGGTTTCATTCTTCTCCTCTCCTCTGCTCTGGGCCATTCAGTGTCTCTCTCAGAGTGGGGAACTCAACAGTGGACTGTGTAGATAAACTCTTTTACCTCCCAAATCCAGAATTCATCAGCTTCTCCACCTCTCAGGACGTCAGTTATGTGTTAGTTTTCATTAATGTAAGTGTCTTAAATAGAATGTTTAAAACATATTTAACATAATGAAACATAGGTGCTTTCACACACAGTGCTCTTTCTCTGTTTGTCTAGAAAAAGCAGGACAGGCTGAATATGCGTGTGGAGGATGTAAAGGTGTGGGGTTTGCAGGAAGAGAAGCAGTTTGAGTGTGTGGTAGAGAAAGTCATATCTACTGCTATTGTCTGTGACATTCTGGAAACACAGGAAGTCAGAATAAATGTGACCTCACTCAGGGTAAGACTGATCAGTCTATCTCTGCAGTGAGAATGTGTAATAGAGCAGACTGAGCACTGCTGAGCCCAGTGCAGGCAAAGCTAATGTTCTCTGTAAGAGTAATTACACACATTCAGAACTTTCAGATGAAAGTCAGTGTCCTGCTTTTCTCAAATGTTTGGTCACTCCTGGTCAAAGTGCTTGCTTTAGTTCTTTTAAATTATTATTTTTTTGGTTAAAGTGAACCAGTGACCTGATCTGACCTCAGCAGAGCACAAAATTAAAGATACTTCCAGATTTTACATTTGCATTCATGAACTTGTAAATTGTAATGTTTATTTAGCAATTTACTGCCTTTCCCTCTTCTGTAAAAGCCACTATTGTTATTTAATGTTCTTGCACAACATTTTAAAGGCATAACTGCAGAAGGCAAAATTTTACTACACATTTACAGTTAAATGCTGGAATTCTTCAAACCCCACCTGTGAGGAGAAAACATTGTTCTATGCCTTATAAATAATTTTTTTATTTAAGTAATATGTGTTATAAACAGTCACTATACTAAGTTGAATGTGTAGAATGCACATAGAAATATTTTGTCATTATCACTCTAAATTAACAGAAAGAACTCAGGACTATGCACAGCTGAAACAGGGGAGAACAAACATTTCCATATAACTGTTTTAAGACAGAAAGAGATATAAAGGCAGTGAACAGGACACTGTTACACACAACAGGTTTGTAACACTAGTTAACCTGTTTCTTTATTAAAATCAGAATAATTTTGACTGCCAACCCTGTTTTTTCTGTTCCAGATCAGTGTTGGTGACTTTTCCACGATTCTAAAAACTCAAGTGGGACACACAGACAGTTTGTTCTGTGTGTAAGATTCACCCTGAATTACTGTATCCTGTAAAAAAGTGATCCTGATCATTTCTCTCTTCTCTTTGGTCAATATGTTTTGTAATTATGTGTGTTTGTTATCAGTGTTTACATGTGCACAGTTCAGATCCAACCTGCATCTAACATGCTGCTCCCCCTCTTTTTGTCATGTTATTTTTTTATTTTTCTTTGTCATTTTCTTTTTCCTTCAGTTTCATATGCTAGTGATCTGTGTAGCTGAAATATCAAAACTCACTCATTTAAAGGGCTGTCCACATACTTGTGCTGTGTGGCCATGTAGTGTGTGTAAATGTGTTCATTTTCATGATGTCACAGAAATATTTTTTAAAAAGCTATTTTTGCTGCTTAATTTTCATATATAAAGTGAAACTTATAACAGTGTTTACATACTATTATTTTTAAGGAAAATTAGGTTTTTCATGATATGGGCCTGTTAAAGTCCGTACACTAGAGATCATAAAACATTTATGATATACAGCTTTCTTATATCATACAGAGATATGCATGAGTGCATGTGTAGACAGCTACAAGCACAGTTCCTTCTGCAGTTGCTGATGTCAGATTTCATAAATATACAGGATATGAGGCACATTTAAATGTGTTATGAGTGCTCATTTGAAGTGTTAGCTGCTGTTCTCATTAAGAATATAATTGGGAATAATCATCGTAATTAACAACAGTTTTGTTCATTTAAATTCAGTTTATTTTATGGTTCTAATGATGTTTGAAGCATATCAGCTGAAACTCGGGATAAAAGCTATATCTTACTCTCCACTGTCCTGATGTCAAAATGTGCTGGGTATATGGAAAGAAACACCTTCTAGTGCAGTAGGTAGTGACTAACATAAACTACAGAGGCCTGAATGTCATGAATCGTCAACCCTATTTCCTACTCCCGGAAGAACACAAGAGCAGGAAAGCAGCAATACAAAAGCTGAGTACAATGTTTTAAGATACTTCAGATTCCTTTTGTGCATGTGATTTGTAGCAATGTTTATTTGTTGATGCGTTTGAAAAGGTAAATATCTTTAAAATGATACTTTTCTACTTTTAATACTTTTTTCAATATAACTGACTGCATTTATGACTGTTTAACTATTACTACTGTAGTATCCCAGTCAATGTACAAAATAAGAACTTTATTACTGCACAGGAAAATAGTCTCTCATTTACTCTCATCACACAGTGGGTCTTTTTTGTGTGGTATTAATGTGCTACTTTTATATATCCAATTATATAATCTTCATTAAATGGGATTTGAGAAAGCTGTATATACGTTGTTTATGTTTAACATGTATATATGTTGTTTATACTGTGGGGATGTATCTTCCCCCATCTTCTGGTTAAAATGGGAACTACAGGATGAAATGACAGAAGAAGCTTTGGGAAAACATTTTCAACAAAATCAATCAAACCAGTACAGGTGCTGTCACCACCATACCACAATGAAATTAAGCACAAAAAAGAACAAGTAAGAAAGGAAAACTAAACGATAGCAACTAAAATGTTACTGAGTAAAACAGATTACTTTCCTCACAAATATTCTTGAGTAGAAGAGAAGCATTAGAATTTGAAATACCCAGGAAATTACAAATCTATTAAATTTACTTTGGTACACATTCTTAAAAAATGGCAGTAAATTGTTCTTTTTTAGGTACAAATATTGTCACTGGTGTTGTACCCTTCAGTACCTTTAGTTTAATGTTGTTTTCAGTAATTTTAGTTAACTAACCATTATATGGTATAATTATACCATAATGCTCCATCATTTTTATTATCTCACCCCCAATTTCAGACCAAGCTAAGATTTGTTTTGTGGTTTCTCGGTTGACTGGATTGGGCTACCGCTATCTGGTCTAAAGCACAAAATCTGTCTATGAGCAATTTCTGAAAGATTTTCACATGGTTTGATCATCCACACAAGGGTTAGTGGTGAACTGCTGAATAAACTGTGCAAGGCAATTGTTCAGTTTCGGACTATGCTTTAGCTAGTAGTGGGTGGAATGAACCTGCTTTAGTCATGTTTCGTCAGGGACATAATTCTGACATACTGACTGAACTAGCCTGTAGCCTGTAGCCTGATGATGAGTTAACTCTGGACCAACTAATCATGCTATCGATTCGTTTGTATCAACTCACTCATGACCACAAGACACTCACATCAGTCCCAAGGCCAGTACCATGACCAAGCCGTTTGTCACTGTTTCCAGAGGATCACAAGACTCCAGAGAAACCAACGACCTCGATGAACTGATGGAGTGTGATTCCTTGTGCCTGTCAAGGGAAGAGAGGCACCGTTGTTTAAATGGAGGTCTGTGCATGCACTGTGCTGGTGCTGGCCACATTCTGTGTGACTGTCTGGTTCGTTCGCAGGTGCCAACGCTAGGAAAGCGTGTAGAGGGTGAGTGTTCCCAGAAAGGGGTTGGTCTCAAAGTCTTTTCTCCTGCCATTAGCTGTGTACTGTCATCAACTTTTCTCTATTGTTCCAGCCCTGATTGACTCCGGAGAGAAAATTCATACACACTCAACTAATTGAACAGCTGCAGTTTCTCGTGGAACATCTCAAGACCCTTTTGCAAGTGGCCGCTTGCAAGCTGAATCCATTACACTAAAGACTAAACTAATTCAATGAAGTACCAGTGTTCTACACGCTGAAGTTATTTCTTTTTCGGTCCTAGACTCCTCTGAATTTTCCCTAATTCTAGGTTTACCTTGGTTAGAGAAACACGATCATCGCATCTCCTGGTCTGACCATGCATTACTAATACTGAGGTCCTTCAGGACATTCCTGCAGAATATTCTGACCTTCAAGAGGTGTTTGGCAAAGGAAATGCCACCAAATTACCTCCTCCGCATACCTACAACTGTGCCATTGATCTTATTGAAGACACTACCCTTCCTAAATCTAGAATACATCCTTTGACCCAGTAGGATGGACAGATAGTAGTCAATGGACATGTACATCCAAGAGGCACTAGAACAAGGTTTTATTAGACCCTCAACCTCACCTGTAGCATCTGGCTTCTTCTTTGCAAAGAAAAAAGACAGGGGTATCCATCCCTGTATAGATCACCGAGGTTTGAATCAAATCACTAAGGAATATCCTTATCCACTTCCGCTCATTCATGCAGCTCTAGAACAATTACGGAGGCCTCAATCCTTCACCAAATTAGATCTCCAGAGTGCGTGTAACCTAGTCCGGGTCAGAGAGGGGAACAAAAGGAAGCCCGCTTTTGTCACCACTAGGGGGCACTATGAATATTTGGTAATGCCATTCGGCCTCGCTCTGTCTATATTCCAAGGTTTTATTAATGATGTGTTGAGAGGCATGATTGAAATTTGTGATTGCCTACACTGAGGACGTTATCTACTCCCCTGACCATGTATCTCATGTGGAACATGTCTGTTCAGTTCTTAAATGTCTACTAGAGAACAGTTTGTATGTGAAAGGAGACAAATGTGAATTTTATTTACAGACAGTAGCCTTTTTTTATTATGTCATCAGCCCCAATGGTGTCACGAAGGACGACCACAAGTTTGATGCCGTGGTGAACTGGCCCAAACCTGCTTCAAAGCAGTCAAAGAATTACGTTTTCTAGAATTCAACAACTTCTACCGATGCTTCATTCGAAACTTTAGTTGTATAGCTGCGTTCCTTACTGCCCTCCTGAGAGGTCCCCCCAGAAAACTGGCTTGGTCTACGAAAGCAGAAAGCAGAAAGCGCTTTTGACACACTAAAAGAGGCATTCACATGAGCACCAGCATCAAAACACCCCATAGAGGTAGACACTTCGGAAACTGCTCTTGAAGAATGGAGACATTGGTTAGAAGGTGCTAATCACCCTTTCATCATCCTTACTGATCACAAGGATCTTGAATACCTGTGTACAGCTAAACATCTCAATCCCTGACAAGCATGCTGGTCCTTATTCTCTTCTGGGTTTAGATTTAATATTTCATTTTGCCCCAGTTGTTGCAACACAAAAGCAGACGCTTTGTCAAGAATTTATGAAGGGAAGGAGGAGGGAGGGAGGGGTCAGGATCCAGAAAATGTCCTTCCCCCCACTTGTTAACATTTCCTCCATTCACTGGGAGATAGATGAAGAAATGGGGCTCTTGAGAACCTCTCTATACCAGATCAGTGTCCCTTGAGTAAAACTTACGTCCCTGAACCGTTTAGGGATTGGCTTATCACTTGGGCTCATTCGTCCCTCACCTCATCCAGGTAAATAGGACAAGGGAAGTAGGACATTGAACCCAAAATGTATTGACCTGTTTAAGATTTTTAAGACAGTTTATGAAGCTACTTGAAAACTTTACTTGCCGTCTCATTATTGAGTTTCCCATTGCTCAGCCTCACCCAAATACTGATTTGCTTCACCTGTCTCATTTATCATGTGACTCAGTTTAGTTAGTATAATAGCCCGGGCTTTATTCTAGCTCTTTGTGAGATATTGCTTCTTCCTGAGAGCTACTGAGCATTTATCCTGTGTTTATTGCTGTCCTGTGTACTGGACTTTGACTTTGTATTTCTGGATGTTGCCTTTTGCCTTTCCCCTTTTGGAACGTTTGCCTGTATTTGTCTTTATTATGTTTGTCATTTTACTTGTTCTGGATTTGACCTTTGCATGTTTTTTGACCCAAGTATTGATCATGTTCTAACTAGTAAAGCCTCATTTCCTGATTTTAACCACAAGCGTCTGGCCAGTTCGGTCTTGTAATATCGATTAACATTTCACACACTGTCTTAACTTTTTTGGTGCTGGGCCTGTACATTTTTTTAAAAAAACTTTTTTCAGTGTTGGTGGACAAAAATGTGCATTTCCCTTTTTTATGACAGTGCATGAAAGTGTGTCTTGTTACTACCCTTCACAAATATATCAGGGCTATACATACAGTGTTGTGAAAAAGTGTTTGCCCCCGTCCTGATTTCTTATTCTTTTGCCATGCTTTGTCATACTTAAATGTTTCAGATCACCAAACAAATTTAAATATTAGACCAAGATAACACAAGTAAACACAAAATGCAGTTTATAAATGAAGGTCTTTATTATTAAGGGAAAAAGAAATCCAAACCTACAGGGCCCTGTGTGAAAAAGTGATTGCACATCCTTCACCAGCAATTAGGACCATCTGCCAAAGCATATTGAAGATATTCTAGTATATTATATACCTGACTCCTGTTTTATGATCTAGTGAGTACTGGAGTCGTCCATGAAACCATCTAATGCAGGACAGTGTCAGCAGCTGTATCACTTCAGTCTGATACTAATGATGTGAGGATGAGCTACAAACACATTGAACACAGAAGTTCTCACCTCCATCCACTTAGAGCAGAGACGCTCTGCAGACATTAGTCCTGATCTTCTCTCAGCTCCACATGTAGATCAGACTGACTCTGTCTGAGTTTGAGCTCCACTCAGACCTGCAGCATGAGCTCCTCCAGATGAGGCTCGATCTAGTAGAGGAAAAACACAAGGACATATCTGACCACAGACATCAGCCAAGTTAATATTTTACTGCCTTTCGACGCGAATAAGACCCTGATAACCTGCGGAACTTCTGACTGTGGATACTGTGAACTCCTGGACATCAATGACATCAGCAGAAGTCTCTACAGGGAGGATGTTACAGTCGGACCATCTGTTAATAAATCACCTGTGTCTTTTTTTCTGGATCTTGATGGAGGAAAAAAAAGTTATATGTTGGTTGCCAGAGAGAAGATTTCTGATCGTTGTGTCTCCGATGCTGGTGGAGTATCTCTGTGGAACACTCTGGACTCTGAGCGAGGAGGTATTTTCTCTAAATCAGACATTGATCCAACTGAAGCCAGCATTGATCTAGAAAGAGCAGTTAAGTGGATTAAATGGATTGACGGCTTCCAATCATCTCCTCCCTCTCACTTGTACCTGCTGGTGAATGTTAAGTCTGGAACAGGTCCAGCTGTGGTGGTCTTAAGGATGAAGAACAGCCGCAGTAAAACAGAAATGACCAGATCTCTACAAGGTGCAGTGCTACAGTGCTGTGATGATAAAGACTGTAAAAAGCTCTTATCCTCCTCTGAAGTTCTCTCCTCTGGATCTCCTCTTCTCGACCCCGCATGACCCCAAGATCACTGCTTTGGCCATTTACGACCTCAGTCAGATCAGAGACCGAGTACCTTCATATTTCAGCTGTAGACCACAGTGCACCGCTCAGGTGGGAAACTGCTAATAAATAGAATATCAATTACAATTTATAACAATTTAAAAGCAGATACGTACCTGTCATTTCTTTCCTCAACATGTTTCTGTTTCTCTGCAGAAAGGAGATCATGCTCTAAGACCTCGTGCTGTGGTGCTCAAACACAGTTCAATGTCATCTGTAGCAGCAGAAAAGAGAGGAACCTGGATAGAGCTCTACATCGGAACTGCAAATGGACAACTGATGAAGGTCTGACTTTCTGTCCATCTTCTAAGACATAATCACTCAGGAACGTAAAAATAAATGTTAGAATATTCAGCCTTTCTTTGCTCTGTTTTTCTCATGAATTCCAACACTTTTAATGTTCTGTAGCTGTGAACTGTCTCATAGTCTTCTCACTGTCTGACAGTCTCTCTTAAGAGATTCTCTGATCACATAATCACATCAACTGTTCTTTTACATACTAAAATGTGTTAAACTCCTCTTCAAAACACAAAAACCCTTCAATGGTCCACTGTGGAACAGTTGCTACTGCCTTTCTTATTTATTTTATTTGAATTATTTCTTCTGTATTGTTTCATTTTGTAGCCAGAGGCTAATAAAAACATTATCCTGATTTATCCCCCATTATCCTTATTCTTTTCTTCTGCTTGTGTTTCCAGATTGTGCTGGACAAGGCTTTGAATTCTGGCTGTTTGATGGTGCTGTACAAATCTACTGATGACAGGATGGTGTTTCCCAGAATGCACTTTGATCCAGTGGATCATAAATGCATCTACATAGCTTTGAGAAATCAGGTGAGTCTTAGAGCCAAACACCCATCGTCGGAAGATGACATAAGCATCATTAAAGACACCTTACATGAGAGATCTTTAACTCTGGACCCTGAAATAAGGAATTTAAGGTTGAATTGAAACAAGTGTAACTACTAGCCCTTTTAAATGACTGCTCAGCTTTCTGCAAAGGCAGTTCAGGTTTATTTAAAGTCAGTTCATTTAAACTACAACAGTTTCAGGGAAGTGTTTTAGAACTAATACCTTAGATGTTTTATCGTGAGATTATATTGGTTGTATATGTTTGTGTTGTAGATCAAGCGGGTAGCAGTGACTCAGTGTGGTCTGTACAGCACTTTGAGAGACTGCAGAGCTTCTCAGGATCCTTCCTGTGGCTGGTGCAGTTTAAACTGATCTCAGCAAAACAAACCGATACTAATAATGTGCAAAATATTCACTACTTCTACTTTATAAAGAAATAACAAATAAGCAGCGACACCACATAGGACCATTTCTAAGTTGCAATATGTTTGGGACTCTGGTTCTACTTAGAGGTTTTAGGTGACTCACTGTACTGCAGTCTTGAACTCTGTGAAAGTCATGTAAGTCTCCATTTTTCTGTTTTGTGTATAATCTGTAGTAGACCATGGAACAGTGGAATATAACCCACCATGATGCTGTATTCTTGAGTTAGCAAGTTAAACTTGGGTTAAGCCTTTTAAATGGCCAGGGCCCACATTTCTATGACATTTCTATTGCATGGCCACACCTCCTGAACTCTTCACAGCAGTAAAGATATATTGCTTAATGGTTATACATACAGCAGACTGCTAACACAAAATATCATCACACTTGACATTAAAGAATAAAATGACTCATACAGCCTAATATACATACATACACAGAAATATACATGCTAATCAGAAATATAACACATACAGTATATACACGCAGAAAATTAGATAAAGCAGAATGAATACAAGACTTCATTTGCTATGTCATTAATTGACTACAGCATTAAAAGACTCCTGACTGATCAGTTATGCTGTAATTAGCCAGTTAAGTAACTTCAGCAGAACCAACAGATATTTGGAATGTCTGAGCCGTGCTGCCTACAGTGGAAACATGCCGGCCAACCTTCAAAAAAGTTCTGTCCCTGCAATTTTGTCAAGCAAAATATGGGGTAATATTATAGAAATCTGCAAATCTGGCTATACTTCTAGTACAAACCATGTTATAAATATTATTTAGTTACAGTCACTTATTGAGACCCTTGATAAAACCTGTGGAAAAGGAATGTAAAAATGTCTTTGTGGTTAATTAGCCCAATCTCACAATAAACAAATGAGAGAAAGAATCTAAACTTTAATTTAATTAAATTTAATGTAAGAAAACAAAAAGTCCTATCATTTAAAATAAATTGTCATTATTTATTATGATGTATTATGTTATTATTCTTATATTTTATAATTCTTAGCAGTACTAGAACATTTTACGAACAAATTGTAACTGAAGCATGTCCCCATGTATATTTCAAGTTACATGACTTCCTGTTTAACTGCTAATGAGGAGCCACAGAGGCCAGATTCCTATAGTCATTTATCAACATGAGTAAGATTAAAGAATACAGAAATGATTCAAAAGTGACAAAACTACGATTAACTGCCTCCTCCATGTCAATGATCTATTTGGAATGCGTCCCAGAGGTAAGTCTTTTGCTTCATCTACTCACAAATGCAAGCGTCTAGAGTTTGCTGGATGCTACAGGAACCTTGATTGGAACTGGGCTCTAGGAAAAAAACAGAGCCCTTTGAAAACAACACCCACTCAGGATTTAGCATAAAAAGAAGAATGGTTATACAAAAAGAACTCCATCTCCACTGTTAAGTATGGAGGAGGATCTAATATGTTTTGGGGCTGTTTTTCCTCCTAAGGCCCTGGGAACCATGTTAGGATACATGACATGATGGACTCCATGAACTGCCAGGTGATTTCAAATGAAAATGTAACTCCTCTCTCTCTCAAAAAAAAAAAGAAAAAAATCAGTTGTGGTTGAATCATTGAACAGGACAAAGATCTAAAACATACAACCACATCCACACAAATTGGTTTAATGACCATGGAATCAAGCTTTTGACATGGCAATCCCAGTCCACTGACCTAAACCCTTTATTAAACCTATAATAATTCTTTATTGGTTGCTTCATATATATATGGCTAAACAGAAGGGCACTAGAGGCCATGAATATATAGTTGACATGAAATGTAACTCTGAATGTACCTGAATATACTTTCAATTGTATGAAACATTCTGGATGAAATTAACTTTATTCTTTATCAGATACTTTCATCATTCAGCATTAAGAGAAAATTGCATTATCATGTTATAGTCCTTGGAGAAAAAATCAGTTACTGGCATGCCTGAATTTAGTAGTATGTAGCCCCTCCCTATATGAGGATAGCTGTGCTGTACTGCTCTACAGTATTTGATAATATGGAGAGCACATAGAAAGAGTTCTGAAATCATTCCTGCATACTGAGTAACACCACATTCCTCATAACCCTACAGTGGCTCCCAGGACAGCAAAGCAGGCTGTAAACATCAAGTATCCACCATGTGTGATCATGTGACTTGATTTCTCATTGTGGTCACTCTAGATGCTCGACCAAAGACGAGTGTCCAAACGCTACTTGGATCTTCATTCCTGAAGATTCTTTTCAGAAAGAGCTGATTTCTTTTCAAGTGACTGAAGTCTCCACTGAGGTAAATGTGTCTCTGACATTTACTGTGACAATTACTGTATCTACATTTTACAATTATTTTTAGAAAATATTTTAATCCACTACTGTGCTCTCATTCAGGTCACTCTGAATCTCCACTTAAAGCCTCCCTTAATTTGTACCTTCATGGAAGATGCAGATGTAAATTTATGTCAATGTGAGCGACTGCTCCTGCAAATTCTCCAGCCAGCGACTGCCAGTTAATGGTCAGTTTAGATTTTTATGGCTCTGAACTTTTTTTGAATGTTCTGTTTATGGGTACAGTTAAGAAAGTCTATGCTAGTTTAAATAATCTTTAGTACAAAAAGGAATGTATAACTATATAACCCAGAAAAGGTCAACAGCATATATGAATATGCAATACACAAAAATCTAATGATATTCATTTCATTCATTTGAGAGTCTCTGACACTTTCTTAGTATCTGAACATGATAATCTCAGTATCTGGTCATAATAAAACAGAAAGTGTTATCATTTGTATGTCCAGTCAAAGCAACTGTCGCTACTGGAGATCAGAAAATCACAGAGAGCCTGAAAGTGAGGAGCTGCCCAGACATCACAGAGACATCACCATATGATAAGTAAGACATTTTACATCATAAAAGCCTTTTAACCTACAGCCTGTCATCATACTATTTGTCTGGTAGTTTGAAGCATGTTGGATCAGTATATATATCTATCTATAACATATTTATAACAACTATTTTACTTTATTCATACCATTACTTTTTCAAAATATCATTTATCTTTTAATGCTCTTAATAATGCTGTTTATATGGTATATGACTGCTGGCTATTAATTTGATAGTTTTATATCCTGGGAAAGGAGGCTCCGCCTATGTAGCTTACATTAACATCTGAAAACCATGGCGTTAAACTTATTCAAAGGAATATGGAATATTCACCTGAACACCACTTCACAGTATACACTTCACAACAAAAGTACATTAATTAAAGTATTTACACATAGCAATTATGATGTAACATATGATGTAACATGTATTTCATTCATGTAGAGCCAACTTACACATTTGAATCAAGCAAATACAAAACAACCTTTAAACAATTTTTTTTTCAGTGTAGGTTGTAAACATTAAATTCATGATTCAGTTTACCTTCCTTTTCTGCTTAGAAACTAGAGGCCTTTCTTTTGTTTTGCTGTGTTGAATGTATGCAGTTGAAATCATGTTTAAGTTTTAAGTAATTCCAAATTTACAGTCAAACTCTGAATTGATTCTGTGATGCTCTGTTGGCAGGTTGTTTGGTTTCGTTCAGCAAAGGTGTGTGTGTGTGTTTTGTATGCAGGTGTGTAGCGTGTGTCTTAGCCGGGTGTTTTCCGTCCAGCAGTACTAAAAAGTGCAGCTGGGCTCACAGCTCTGCTTCACAGGTACCTATGCACATTCTGACATTTCACTTTTATTGATTTATTTAATTTGATATAAAATAATAACCTTGTAGATCATATTACACACATGTGTGTACTTCAGTGCTAAAAATTCCACACAGATTTAATTCATAGTTATACTGATGATGTGTGGTCCTAAACTTTGGTTCAGCAGAATCATGCTTTTTATACTATATTTTATTTGAGAAGTTCCAACTGAAAAAGAATTACTTTATTTGTTTATTACGTTTGGGTGACAGTGAGGGTGAGTTAACAATTACTAAAATACAAAAACATTTCAAATTAATATTTCTAAATTCAGTGATTTAAACAAGACAAAACATCTGTTTTAATGCTAAACTGAAGTGCTTTCTGTTATTTATTTCTCTCCTCTGTAGGACGTGTGTGAAGGATTATATTCTGGGAGGAATCCAGTAAGTGACCAGAACTGTCACTTACAGTGTCAGTGGAAATAAGATCTGTGTCAGGGGGAAGTTTAGGGTTTGAACAGGGAACTAAGAATAAGAACATTCTTGTTTTCAACAAGAATTATAGTATGATGGCTCCTGCATTTTTCTTGTGTATGTAGCGAAAAGTTTTATAGAAATTGAGACTTATTTATTTATTTATTTTTATTTCAGGTAACCTAGCACTGCTTAACCGGTTGTTTGTACACATAATAATACAAGTGTTATCATGTGAAGGTTTGGTTTTATAGTCTCATGTTTCTCTTTTTTATCAATTTTTCTAGCCAGATTTTCTAGCCTGGAGCCTTTTCGTCCTCCTTTCATGGCAAAAACAATGCAGTGCTGAAAGGGAAAAATCTGGAACTGGTCAAGAAAATTCGCTTTCAGGGATTCATGGAGTGCACTTCAAAGGAGTGAGTGTTAACAGAAGTGTATTTATGTGTGTGTGTGTGTGTGTGTGTGTGTGTGTTTGTATGCATGATGTATTTGATTTGTGTCTCTGTGAATCTGCTGTTTTCCACTAGGACTCCAGTGTTGGAGCGCTCCACTGATACTCTGAAGTTCAGCATTCCAAACGGAAATAAAGGAACTGTGAGGGTGTGTGTGGTGACAGAAGACAGCCATTGTCATAGTAATGCCACCATCACTTATGGCTCCCAGCCCATCTGTACTGGACTGCAGCCTAGAAACACCTGGGCCAGGTACAGCAGAGACATTCTGCACATTAAAAATAATCACTACTTTAAATTCAGTTCTGGTTTGTTTTTAACAGTTTAAGTTCTGAGTGTTCTTTTAAATATAATTAACCCCCATGCTCTGAGTATGAAATGCTCTTTAGTTCTTAACTGCATAAAACTTATTTTCGGTCCTTTGAGTTGTCCTCTTCTCTCTGTAATCAAATTAAGCTCAACTAAGTAGTAATACTTACACAGCCGGGTCAAGTGTTTTCAAAGGCATTATAGTGTTTTAAGCCTGTTTAAACCTGTTCAAAGTGAAAGTTATTCTACTATTTAATAGGGATCTGAGTATTACGATAAAACTGGGCATACTCTGATGAATCAAGATCAATTTAATGAAAAAAATATGTATTCTATTACATTTAAAACTATTTAGTAAAATATTGCAGTTTGTTTTTTGGCTATTCGTAAAAAGCATAGTTGAGCATTATAGCAGCTGAAGTGCTGCAGGGTTCTGTTAATGTACTAAAATAGCAGTGGTTTCCTGCTTGCAGTACCACTGATGTTTGATGTTACTGTGTGTCGATCAGTGGGGGGAGGAAGATTGAAGTGCTGGAGAGCAGTCTGGAGTACGTGGAGAAAAGTCATAGTAAATGAGCATCAAGTCAAGCACTGTGGTAAAGTATCTGCACACACTTTTCTCCTTTCTCTCTGACAAGCTAAACAACTACAATACTCTTCTGAGACTCTGTGGTCTGTGCAGATAAACTCTCTTACCTCCCAAACCCAGAATTCATCAGCTTCTCTGCCGCTCAGGATGTCAGTTATGTGTTAGTTTTCATTAATGTAAGTGTCTTAAATAGAATGTTTAAAACATATTTAACATAATGAAACATAGGTGCTTTCACACACAGTGCTCTTTCTCTGTTTGTCTAGAAAAAGCAGGACAGGCTGAATATGCGTGTGGAGGATGTAAAGGTGTGGGGTTTGCAGGAAGAGAAGCAGTTTGAGTGTGTGGTAGAGAAAGTTATATCTACTGCTATTGTCTGTGACATTCTGGAAACACAGGAAGTCAGAATAAATGTGACCTCACTCAGGGTAAGACTGGTCAGTCCATCTCTGCAGTGAGAATGTGTAATAGAGCAGACTGAGCACTGCTGAGCCCAGTGCAGACAAAGCTAATGTTCTCTGTAAGAGTAATTACACACATTCAGAACTTTCAGATGAAAGTCAGTGTCCTGCTTTTCTCAAATGTTTGGTCACTCCTGGTCAAAGTGCTTGCTTTAGTTCTTTTAAATTATTATTTTTTTGGTTAAAGTGAACCAGTGACCTGATCTGACCTCAGCAGAGCACAAAATTAAAGATACTTCCAGATTTTACATTTGCATTCATGAACTTGTAAATTGTAATGTTTATTTAGCAATTTACTGCCTTTCCCTCTTCTGTAAAAGCCAGTGTTTTATTTAATGTCTTTGCACAACTTTTTAAAGACATAACTGCACAAGGCAAAATGTTCTACAATTTACAGTTAAATGCTGGAATTCTCCAGACCCCACCTGTGAGGAGAAAACATTGTTCTATGTCTTATAAATAATCTTTTATTTAAGTAATATGTGTTATGAACACTCATATATATGACTGGACACATTTATGCTAAGGTGAACGTGTAGAAATGCATATTTTGTAATTATCAATCCAAATTAACAGAAAGAACTCAGGACTATGCAGAGCTGAAACAGGGGAGAACAAACATTTCCATATAACTGTTTTAGGATAGAAAAGGATGCAAAGGCAGTGAACAGGACACTGTTACAAACAACAGGTTTGTAACACTAGTTAACCTGTTTCTTTATTAAAATCAGAACAGTTCTGACTGTCCTCCTGTTTTTTCTGTTCCAGATCAGTGTTGGTGACTTTTCCACAATTCTAAAAACTCAAGTGGGACACACAGACACTTTGTTCTGTGTGTAAGATTCACCCTGAATTACTGTATCCTGTAAAAAAGTGATCCTGATAATCTCTCTCTTCTCTTCGGTCACCATACTTTTGTAATTATGTGTGTCGGTTATGTTTACATGTGCACAGTTCAGTTCCAGCCTGCATCTAACATGCTCCTACCCATCCTTTGGTCATGTTATTTTTTATTATTATCATTTTTTTTTTCCTTCAGTTTCATCTTTTTTTTTTCTATGTGGCTGAAATACCTAAACACACTCATTTGAAGTGTATGTAAATATGTTGATGATGTAACTGAAATAATAAAAAAAAACTGTTTTTGCCGCTCAATTATCATATGTGAAGTGAAACTTATAACAATGTTTACATACTATTGTTTTTAAGGAAAATAAGGTTTTCCATGATATGGGCCTATTCACACTCCAGGGATCATAAAACATTTACGATATACAGCTTCCTTATATCATACATAGACATGCACAAGGACACTTATAGACAGCTACAGGCACAGTTCCTTCTGCTGATGTCAGATTTCATAAATATACAGGATATAGGGGCACATTTAAATGTGTTATGAGTGTTCGTATAAAGTGTTAGAGTTTTGTTCATTTAATTTCAGTTGATTTTTTGCTTCTAATGATGTTTTAAGCACATCTGCTGAAACTCAGGATCAAAGGTACATCTTAAATACTCACCACTGTCCTGATGTCAAAATGTACTGGTAAATAGAAAGAAACATCTTCTAGTGCAGTGGTTAGTAGCTCATTTAAACCATGGAGGCTGAAATGTCATGAAATGCTGTTCCTAGTTGTTCATACTGCTGGAAGAACACAATATTTGAATAATGTGGCCACATTTTATTATTATCTTATGCTATACACCGGTTAGTTCGGCCACGCAAGCTGATTGGTTGAGAGGCGTTCTAACTGTGCTGATATTTCGCCATAACATCACGGGTTTTTCACAAACACTGTATCACGCCGCTGAGACGCCGTTGCTAAGCAATGAATTTGACAGCTGTAGGAGACGCTCAAGCCATTTGAACGTTTTTACTTCTTACTTTGCCACAAACCGAAAATGGACACTTTTGAGATTATATTTGACCGACAGCTGATTTGGTCAGACTCTGAAGATGAGACTACACTAAATTCACAAACTGTCATCACCACTGAGCAGCTTTTCAGTCGGCAGCTGAGACAGAAGAACAGATAAACAACCTGGAATCAGCCAGAAACTTACTGTGACGTTGGAACGAGCTGCTTGTTAAGGAACTATAATTTGGCGGAAGGAATTGCTAACATTAAAATATTTCAAACGCCACGTTTACGGTCCATTTTATTTATTTCTTACTTTATTTATTTAACTGTTGTATAAAAGCAATAGAACACGACAGGGAGTGTGTTATGGCGAAATAACATCACGGCTGTGATGATCTAGGGATCTACTGCGACCAAATCACAGCCGTGATGTTATTTCGCGATAACTCAGTTCCTCTCGTGTTCTATTGCTCAATTTTAAGATACTTCAGATTCCTTTGTGTGCACGTGATGTAACAATGTTTATTTGTTGATGCGTTTGAAAAGGTAAATATCTTTAAAATGATACTTTTTACTTTTCATACTTTTTTTCAATATAACTGACTGCGTTTATGACCGTTTAACTATTACTACTGTAGTATCTCAGTCAATGTACGAAATAAGTACTTTATTACTGCACAGGAAAATCATCTCTCATTTACTCTCATCACACAGTGGGTCTTTTTTGTGAGCTATTACTGTAATACTTATATATTTAATTACATAACCTACTTCATTAAATGGGATTGGTGAAAGCTGTAATTGTTTACACTGTGATAATGTATCCCCATCTGCTGGTTAAACTGGGAACTACAGAAAGAAATGATAAACATGCAGAAGATAAATATACAGACGTAGATAGATTTGTCTAAACGCATACTCATGTCAAAATGTTGTTTTAATGATGTAATGACTCAAGTAAAAGTATATTTACAAAAACAACTTGAGAAGAAGTACAAAAGTATGTAAGCACAGTTTGTTAGGTGTTACAAGTTTGTGTTCTTCTTTTGGACTAAAATAATAAGTCAGAGGTGTGAGTAAAAGCACAGCAGTACAGATGCTGTCACCACCAAAACACAATGAAATTAAACACTAAAAAAGGAAAACTAAAATGTTACTGAGTAAAACATAATTACATTCCTCACAAATATTCTTGAGTAGAAGAAAAGTATTATAACCGAAAATACTCAGGCAAGAACAAATCCATCAAAACTCACATTCACAAAAAACAGTTTTAAACTGTTCTTTTTTAGGTACAAACATTGTCACTGGGGTGATGCCCTTTAGTACTTTTAGTTTAGTGGTATTTCTTAAGTACCTTTGGTTAAAGAATATAATTGTACCATATTGTTTTGCAATTCCATTTTAAATGTTTATTTATTGTGCATTTAAGTCTTCTCCAGACTCCAGCATTTTCATTTTATTTTTTACTTCAATAAAGTTATGAAAAAGTACAAATATGTGCCTTTCCCCTGGGAAACGTAAATGTAACTTTGGACCTAAAGGACCATGTTGAACTTTTAAGAGTACATTTACATTTTTGTTGCTTCACTGAATAAAAGGTTGCTTGAAATGTACTTGATTCAAATACATATGGTTCCACAGCAATGAAATATACAATTATAAAAGACACAATTATTGTCTTTCATTTTACTTACCTTTGACTTGTATTAATGTAACAAATTCCATACATGTGGAATTGATGTGCCCTTTTGAATCAAGTACAAACACAATTCCAAAAAGGTTTGGACAGTAGATCATTTCTTTTGTAAATAGAAGCTCATTCTGAAACTGATACCTGCAACACATTTCAAAAGAGTTGTTAGAGGGGCAATTTCAGACTAAAGACTAGGAACATTGTGAAATGTTCAAAAAACATGTTAAGCAGGCGATGCAATCATGCTTGGATATAAAAGGAGCATTTAGAAAAGGCCTAGTCCTTTATGAGAAAGGATGGGTTGAGGCCACTTTGCAAAAAATCCACAGTGTAAAAAATAATGTTCCTCAGCCAGGGATTGCTAGGATTTTACATACTTCACCCTCTACAGTGCATAATGACATCTAAAGATTGAATGAAAGATTGAAAAATCTCTGTGCGTAAAGGAAAAAGCCAAAAAACACTATTGAATGCCCATGACCTTCAACCCCCTCAGACGGCACTAAAAACCAGCATGATTTTGTGAGGAGGATCACCAAATGGGTTTGGGAAAACTTTCACAAACCAATGATAATAAACACCATCCTTCACTGCACCAACAAATACAAGTTAAACCTGTACACAGTGGAGGTCACACATCAACAACAAAGTTCAAAACCAGCCTCTGTGAGGTTCAGGACCAGCGTAAACATGCACCCATGCTTATTTCAACATGTCAACACCAGCCCACATTCTGCATGTTACAATAGCACTGCAACAGCAGTGTAATCAGAGAGTGCAGTTGCTAGACTGACCTGCCTGCAGTCCAGAACTGTCTCCCATTAAAAACAAGTGTCTTATTAAGCTCAAAATACGACAACAAAGACCCTGTATACAGTTGCACAGCTGAAGACTTGTGTATAACAGCAAATGGCAAAAAATGTATGTTTTCAAAATTGGATGAATTGTTGTCTTTAGTACCCAGACAATTATTAAGTGCTGATAACAGGAAAAGTGATGTAACACAGTGATAAACTTGATTCAGTCTCAACCTTTTTGGAACATGTTGCAGACATCAAATTTGGAATGAGAATATATTTATAAACAACAATAAAGTCAAGTCAAGTTTATTTATATAGCACTTTTTACAACAGACATTGTCGCAAAGCAGCTTTACAGAAAAATCCATGTCCAAGCCCCCATGAGCAAGTTCAATGGAGACAGTGGCAGGAAACACTCCCTAAAAATAAGAGGAAGAAACCTTGAGAGGAACCCCGACTCAAAAGTGGAACCCATCCTCCTCTGGTCAACACCGGATAGCAAAACAATAACACAAGAGCAAAATGAACAGAGGAAAAGATTTTACCATGAGTATAAAATATTACAATACAGAAAAGGGGAAAGCAGGTGAAGCAATGGCCATGATTAAATAGTTCGAGTAGAGCAGCAGCAGCATCATCAGGAGGGTCAGTCAATGCAGGTGAGGTTTGCACAGCGTTGTACAGCAGAAGTTCCATTAAACAAATTAGTTCACTATTTATCAAAATAAGCCTTGTAATATGTAATCAATAAATACCTGTATATTTCTAAGTTGGCATCATAGGTCTAATAATGAGAGAGTTTAATAGATTAATTGAACTATTAAAATCATTATCCAACACATTAGTTTACTATTTACCAAAAAAAGCCTTAATAAAAGGCTAATATTGATAGAGTTAAATAGCTTCAGTCTACCAATTTTGCATATAAAATACAGTTTAAAATCCTAAAAAGAAGGGGAAAACATTCCAATGTGTTTTTCTAAGGTGGTTTGACACCATGAGGTCAGCCACTTAAGGGCACATCAACAATTACTTTAAAATTAAATAAAACATGAAGTGATGGAGTGGAAAAACTGAAAGAAAACATTTTAGTTCAAATCAAATAACAACACAACCACAAACTATAGAACATAAATGTCTTTATGATTTGATGATCTACTCTGGTCATTTAGAGGCAAAGTTACAAGCTTCAATTTCCATGCAGTTCTGCATTTCTCAAACCCAATAACGAACAGCCAGCTTCAAACTCTGAATAATGATAATGAGGTGATGAGTTCTTGCCGTCTGAGCGGCACCACTAGAGCGCAGCACTGAGTCGCGAATGACCAAAGAAGTTTCAGGTCATTGAGACCACTAACAGATTACTGATACAGATCAGTGTCAGATACACGAAGAGCTCAGCAGCTGTATCACTTCAGTCTGATACTAATGATGTGAGGATGAGCTACAAACACATTGAACACGGAAGTTCTCACCTCCATCCACTTAGAGCAGAGACGCTCTGCAGACATTAGTCCTGATCTTCTCTCAGCTCCACATGTAGATCAGACTGACTCTGTCTGAGTTTGAGCTCCACTCAGACCTGCAGGATGAGGACTGTTTATCTGGGAATGCTGCTCTTATTCCAAAGCGCTGTTTCCTCCTTAACGGAGTTCAGCGTTAAAGGAGAGATCAGGAACTTTGCTGTTGGAAACGGGAAAGTGTTCGTCGTCACCGACTCTCAGCTCCTCCAGATGAGGCTCGATCTAGTAGAGGAAAAACACAAGGACATATCTGACCACACACATCAGAACCAAGTTAATATTTTACTGCCTTTCGACGCGAATAAGACCCTGATAACCTGCGGAATTTATGGCTGTGGATACTGTGAACTCCTGGACATCAATGACATCAGCAGAAGTCTCTACAGGGAGGATGTTTCAGTCGGACCATCTGTTAATAAATCATCTGTTTCCTTTATTGTAGATTTTGATGAAGGAAACGCAGAAAGATACATGTTGGTTGCCAGAGAAAAGGTTCCTGAAGACTGTGGCTCTGATGATGAAGTATCTCTGCGGAACACTCTGGACTCTCAGACAGGAGGAATTTTTTCTAAAGTAGCCTCTTCAAACGAAGCCAGCATTTCTCCACAGAGTGATGTTGAGTGGATTGATGGCTTCCAATCATCTCCTCCCTCTCACTCGTACCTGCTGGTGAACGTTAAGTCTGGAACAGGTCCAGCTGTGGTGGTCTTAAGGATGAAGAACAGCCGCAGTAAAACAGAAATGACCAGATCTCTACAAGGTGCAGTGCTACAGTGCTGTGATGATAAAGACCGTAAAAAGCTCTTATCCTCCTCTGCAGTTCTCTCCTCTGGATCTCCTCTTCTCTGGGCGGGAATATTCACTGCGCAAGAAGCGCACGACCCCCAGAACACTGCTTTGGCTATTTATGACCTCAGTCAGATCAGAGACCGAGTACCTTCATATTTCAGCTGTAGACCATATTGCACAGCTCAGGTGAGAAACTGCTAGTAAATATAAATAAAGCATCAATTATGATTTATATTTAAATGATCTGCACTTTATGCTTCATGTCATTCAGCCTCTAAAATCAGAATCTGTAGATCAGTATCTGTCATCTCTTTCACTCAACATGTTTCTGGTCTCTGCAGAAAGGAGATCATGTTCTGAGTCCTCGTGCTGTGGTGCTCAAACACAGTTCAATGTCATCTGTAGCAGCAGAAAAGAGAGGATCCTGGATTGAGCTCTACATCGGAACTGCAAATGGACAACTGATGAAGGTCTGACTTTCTGTCCATCTTCTAATACATAATCACTTAACAAAATAAAAATCAATGTTTGAATATTCAGCCTTTCTTTGTTCTGTTTTTCGCACAAGTTTAAACACTTTTAATGTCCTGTAGTTGTGAACTGTCTCAAAGTCTTTACTGTCTGACAGTCTCCCCAAAATGTCATGATTACCACATAATCACATCAACTGTTTCATTTACATACTTGTAAAATATATTAAACTCTTCTTCAAAAAACAAAAAAACCTTCACAGGTCCAATGCAGAACAAACACAGACAGTAATTCATATCGTCTTTCTTACTTGTTTTAGGTGGGCAAACATTATTTGCTCTCTATTGTTTCATTTTGTAGCCAGAGGCCAATAAAAACATTATCTGTATTTCTTATTGTTTTCTTCTGCTTGTGTTTCCAGATTGTGCTGGACAAGGCTTTGAATTCTGGCTGTTTGATGGTGCTGTACAAATCTACTGATGACAGGATGGTGTTTCCCAGAATGCACTTTGATCCAGTGGATCATAAATACATCTACATAGCTTTGAGAAATCAGGTGAGTCTTAGAGCCAAACACCCATCATCAGAAGATGACATAAGCATCATTAAAGACAACTTACATGAGAGATCTTTAACTCTGGACCCTGAAATAAAGAATTTAAGGTGGAATTGAAACAAATGAAACTCTCTGCCCTTTAAATGTCTTTGCTCATCTTTCTGCAGTGACAGTTCAAGTTTATTTGAAGTCAGCTAACAACGTACAGCCATTTCAGGAAAGTGTTTTGGAACTGATATCTTTAGTTTTATTGTGAGATTAAATTAGTTGTATATGTTTGTGTTGTAGATCAGGCGGGTAGCAGTGACTCAGTGTGGTCTGTACAGCACTTTGAGAGACTGCAGAGCTTCTCAGGATCCTTCCTGTGGTTGGTGTGTGACTACTAGCAAGTAGGTTTCTCACTCATTCTTACACATCTCCTTTTCAACACTACATGTCTGCCTTTTTAACCATTTTTGTTCTATAAGTATTGAAACATTATGTGTCGGGTGTCTCTGCGACTCTCTTTATCCACCTCACATGCAGCCGACACTGATCTCAGCAAAACAAACCGATACTGATAATGTGCAAAATATTCACTACACCTGCTTTACAGAGTTACAAATAACCAGCCAAACCTCATAGGACCATTTGTTGTCATTATGTTTTAGGACCTGCTTCTACTCAAACTTTGGCTCTTGTCATGTACGTCTCTGTTCATCTATTTTGCGTGTAACCTGTATTAGGCCACATAACAGCGGGGTATAGCCATGATGGCATATTCTTGGGTCAGCAAGTTAAAGTTAGGTTTAATTCAGCCTTAATAGCATCATATTAGCAGCATAACATTCAGTCATTTTAGTCAAAGGCAACTTACTCTCCAGTCTTACTGTGTAGCTGCCCTTGTCCATGTTATGTACATGAACAGTCCTTGATAAAAAAAGCTATTTTAGCATCATCAACAAAGTTTTTAGGATACTGTAGTTCAGTTAACATAAAGAGGCTTATTTTCTATTCCATACATTTTAACAGGTGGAATGGGAGGCAGTCAATAAATAACTAACTACATAGCATATAGCTCATATTGTATATGATATATGATCATATTGTATATGATTATATATCATTCTTTTGTGTGAAACTCTTTCATTTATTGGAAAGAAAATAATTGGCTCTTTTATTTACCCAGGGAAGAGAATCATAGTAAATACTGTGCTACTAAAAAGGCGTGACTGTTGTTGTTGTTAGTCTGGGTTGACGGGGGAGGGGAACAGGGCTCCTAAATAAATTATAATTATCTGTTAGCTTACAGTTTCTCAGGAATATAACAACATCAGTGTAAATGTCCTTATCTGAACTTTATTTGCTAACCCACAATGCAAAAAAAGCATGACATCAGCATGTTAGTCCAAACACAAATCATATGTGGATTCACATTTAAATGAATAATACCTAATCCAGCTTATTTAAGCATGTATTGCTTAATGATTATACATACAGCAGACTGCTAACAAATTATCATCACACATGACATGAAAGAATAACATTATTAGGTGCAAAGCAGAACTATTACAAGATTTTATAACATTAATTAACTACAGCATTAAAAGGCTCCTGCCATTGGCTGATTAATTATACTATAACTACCAACTGAATAACCAGAGCTAACCGGTTTTTGGAATGTCTGAGCTGTGCTGCATACACTGGGAACATGACCCCCATCTTCAAAGAAGTTCTGTCCCCTTCATTTTTTGTCAATCAAAATATTGAGAGAGAAATCTGCAAATCTGGCTAATTTCTACCATATTCTACCATTTAAACCATATTACAAATACTACTTAGTCACAGTCAGCTTCAGAATTATTGGCACTCTTGGTAGAACCTGTGAAAAAGGATGTGAAAAATGTCTTTGTGACTAATTAGCCCAATCTCACACTAAAGATATGGGAAAGAATCTTAAATTGAATTAAATGCAGTCTAAGAAAACAAAAAAAATCATTTAAAAAATTTTCATTATTTATTATGTTATTATTCTTATATTTTGTCATTATTGGCACCCTGAACTTCTTCTTAACAAAATGTAACTAAAGCCTGTTTCCATTTATATTTTAGTCCACCTGCATGTTTAGCAACCCTTAAGTGGTCTTGCATGACTTTCTGTTTCACTGGGTATGAGGATCCGCAGAGGCCAAATCCCCGTAGTTGTTCATCAACAAGGGGAAGATTTTTCCCATCTCTGACCATTTATTCTTAAAAATGTAAAATCAGTCCATGATAGTTGTGATAATCATGTAATTATTATAACAGTTAAGGTATGAAGGGCTATACGTTACTTTGAAGGAGGGTCTAAATTAACTTTCTGTTCTAACACCAGTTATTAATAATCTTGAACTCATGCCAGGTAGTCATGATGCAGACTTCCGAATTTGGCTGGCCAAAGGCATTAAAAAGTTAGCGGACCTTTTTAAAGATGGACATTTTTTTTAACCATTGACTCCGTAATATAATTTATCGAGACAAGATTTTTTTAGATTTTTCCAAATTCGTAACGTTACATTTTCGAAAACACTTTACTGACCAACCATTTTGATGAATCCCATGAAGAAAGACTCCTATTTTACCCCCCTGGGAAACTAACGGTGAGTCTATTCTATAATGTGTGGAAAGTTAACCAGCTTCTCAGACATCTGAGCTTAACAATATAACAGTAGAGGGACCTCTGTGTAGCTGTAAGTGATGAGGAATAGGAGAACATCTGGAAATCTGTGTGTAACCATGCAAAAGTGATTCAGTACTGAATCATACATCGGATGCACATTTCTCCCAGTCGAAGGCATGCTTAAACAGTTCAGCCTAACCACTTTGTCTTAAGTGTAAAACTCAGAGGGGGTCTCTTACAGATTGTTGTTGGACATGTTATAAGTTGTAGGAATACTGGGCTAAGATAGCACAAGAAATTGGGAACATCTTTGATATAGAGGTTGATTTAAAACCGTTATGTTTGATTTTTAACTTCACTAAATGAAAGAAAGTTATACAACATGCTCACCTTTGCAACAACAAAGAATATTCTATTACAGTGGATTACTGAGAAGATTCCAACTGTGATTGGTTGGCATAAGATATTAAGAGAAATAATTTCAATGGAGTATTTAACGTGTACACTACATTGTAAGACAGACCACCTTTACCTCACCTTTTTAAGGTTTGGGAGCCTTATATTAACTTAATCGGATCTATTTTACATATAATGACAAACTGGAATCTGTTGAATTTTATGAGCTTGTTGAGTTTGTGCAACCTCTTTAGTTGTGCATTGTTAAGTGTTTTAAAGACAAAATCCAATAAAAATATTCAAAAAAAATAAAAAACATAGGGAAGATTGGAGGATTCAAGAATACAGAAAGGCAATAAGCGAAAAGTGTGCTAACCTTCATAAATTCTACAATAAAAAAGGCTATAAAATAGTTGCATGCCTGAAAATGCCCATATCCTCTGTTAGGGCAACAATAAAGAAGTTTAAAACAACCAGAGCTACAGTAAGCCTGCCTGGAAAGGGAACACGAGCAATTTTATTTTATCTGCCAACAAATGTAAGCAACTGAAGTTCATTATTACCTTGGAACCTACTGGAACCTTTACTGGAACCTGGTTCTAAGGTTAGATGAGACAAAAAAAGAGCTTTTTGAAAACAGCACTTAGTGAAGATCAGGCATGAAAAGAAGAATGGTTATACAAAGGAAACCTGATCCCCACTGTTAAGTATGGTGGAGGATCTATTATGTTTTTGGGCTGTTTTTCATCTAAAGGCTCTGGGAACCTAGTTAGGCGACATGGCATAAGTGGAAATCTGGGCCTTCTCTGCCAAAAGATCAGATAAACTTTAGTTGTAGTTGGATCTTCTAGCATGACAAGTATCCAAGCATAAATCCAATAAACTTTACACAACAGTCTACAGCTGTATAATCCTGTCTTGTCCTGCTTTGTCTTTCCTTGTTTCCGTCTGCATCTTGCTCCATCAGCTTTTGTTTATGTCTGCCATGTGCTTTTGTTGTTTTGGTCTGTCTCCTGCCCAGTCATCTGTCCCACCTGTGTGTAATCTGTAGCCCGGTCCTCTCGTTAGCCCTGGGTATTTCTCATGTGTTCTTTTGTTTATATTCCCCTTTGTTTGGTCAGTTCCTTGCTTGTTGTTGTTTGTAGTATGTTCTTAGTTTGAGTGGTTATTCCTGTGTATTTTGTTCTCTGTTCTTTGCTTTTGGTGGTTCTTTTCATTTCTTTAGTGTTTGCCTCATTTTGCTTTTCTTTTTTTTATTGTTCTGTTTTTGCTGCTTAGACAACAATAAAACTGCTAGCTCACACATGCCTTCTCGTCTTCCAACACGTTACAACAGCTGTGACTACTTTTACTTCTCTTTGATACTGAAGATTGAAGCTGTACGTAGAAAACACAGAAGCAAGCCTGGTTAAGAAAGTTGGCTGCATGCCCTTACAGATGATGTGTCCCTCACAACTGACCATACAGCGTTCAATACAGCCTGCTGTTTTCTGACCTGAAAAAAACAAATGAAGAGTTAACCACTGGCAGCAAGGATAGTGCCATTTTGCTGAAATACAAAATTGTTGTTGACTTATGCAGATTCTTTACAAACATAGCAAGCAGGAGCAGCTGAGGAAATGCCAGTAGGGTGAACATCATCTTCACATCAGCTGCAGTGGCAAACAACTAGAACAGAATAACAACAGCATGCACTAAACACATGTATCTGTCCCTCACTGAAGCACCAGTATCACCACTGAACAGATTCCTGAATTTCCACTCTTCAGATCTAGTTATATGAAATAGTCTAATATCAACCATAGGCTAGCACTCTGCAAGTGCTTTCAGACACCAACTAGCTAAACTACATTAGTGTGGTATTTTTTACAGAGAGAAGATGTAATGTTACTCAGGCCAAACACTGCATACAAAACACATTTTCTCTCACAAAATTGTGATTTCAGTTTCAAAAAACCACTGACATGATCACAAAGTTCAGCTGTTAGCTAATTTATTTACTAAAGGTGCTAAAAGGACAAAAAATGTAGTCTCCTACAAAACGATAATCTAGACAGCTGGAAATGTAACAGATGAGTTTTGTATTTCCTCACAAGCAAAATGAAATGCCATGCTATAACGTAAAACATGAAGGTGGATGAAAATCACAAGGAATTGCCACAAGCTACTGCTACGCTAGCTTCATATCACGCAACTCCTGTAATGCGATAGTTTTACAAAAACTAGCTGTTTTAAGGATAACGTGATAATACCGTAAAAAGCGGCTGTAAATTTACAGCTGCAGTTCGTTTTACAGTAAAGAGCTGTTTTTTGTGTATAACGGATATATAAGAATAATACCATTGTAAACTGGCTGTTAATTTACAGCAATTTTTTTACTTTTTATTTTTTACGTGTGTTAGCATGTTAAAATAAGGTTTAACTTGGATGACAGCAGCTCAACATTCAGGCAATTAGGTCAAAGGCAATTTACCCTCCGGTCATATTAGCTGACCTGGTCCAGGTTATGTGCATGAACAACAGTTCATTAAAAACTGAAATAGCTATTGTAGCATCACCAACAAAGTTCTTAAGATACTGTAGGTGCACTAACACAAAGAGGCTACCGCACATATAGAAAGGGTTCTGAAATCATTCCTTCATGCTGAATAACACCACATTCCTCATAACCCTATAGCTGTTCCCAAAACAGCAAAGCAGACTGTAAACATCAGTTATCCACCATGTGTGATTGTGTGATTTGATTTCTCATTGTGGTCACTCTAGCTGCTCGACCAAAGACGAGTGTCCAAACTCTACTTGGATCTCCATTCCTGAAGATTCTTTTCAGAAAGAGCTGATTTCTGTGATTGTAACTGAGGTAAATGTGTCTCTTTGACAGTTATTGTATCTTTGTTTTACAAATATTTTTAGACAATATTTTTATCCAGCACTGTACTTTCTCACTCAGGTCACTCTGAATCTCTCCTTGAATGTGGAGGGAACAGAAAAGCCTCCCTTAACATGTACTTTCAGGGGTGAAGATGTAAATAGTGGAAATCTATGTAATAGTGAGGCTGCAGTTTTCCCCAGCTGCTCCTGCGAATTCTCCAGCCAGCGACTGCCAGTTAATGGTCAGTTTAGTTCTTCATAGCTCTGAACTTTAAATTTTCCATTTATGAGTCCCGTTATGAAAGCCTTTGCTGTTTTAAATTATTTTTCGTACTGAAAGGAGTGTAGAACTGTATAACTGTAGATATCTCAGAAAAGCATATTTGAATATGCAATACACAAAAAATCTAACGATATTCATTTAAATCATTTGAGAGTCTTTGACACTTTCTCAGTATATGAACATGATAATCTGATACAATAAAACAGAAAGTGATCATACTAAAACAGAAAGTGTTTTCTTTTGTATGTCCAGTCACAGCAACTGTCACTATTGGAGATCAGAAAATCACAGAGAGACTGAGACTGAGGAGCTGCCCAAACATCACAGAGACATCATCATATGCTAAGTAAGACATTTTACATCATAAAAGCCTTTTAACCTACAGCCTGTCATCATACTATTTGTCTGGTAGTTTGAAGCATGTTGGATCACTTTGGGTAATGTTTGCCAGTATAAATAGAACCTTTACCATTATCATTAAACATCATCATATTTAACCTGCATGTATTTAAAGTGGATGTTTCCATGGGCGGAATATGCCAGAGAATAAACTCACAATAAAGTCACTGTCCAGTCTTGTTTGATAGCAACGAATTTCCTGGTTGATCACAGGCAGCAGGAATACTATAACCACTATTTTACTTTCATACCATTACTTTTTCAAAATATCATTTATCTTTTAATGCTTTCAATAATGCTGTTTATATGGTATATGACTGCTGGCTATTAATTTGATACTTTTGTATCCTGGGAATGGAGGCTCCTCCTATGTAGCTTACATTGACAACTAAAACCATGGTGTGAAACTTATTCATAGGAATATGGAATATTCACCTGAACACCACTTCACAGTATACACATAAAAAACCTTAACATGTGCACACTACATACACTGAAAAAATACTTACATATAGCAATTATGATGTAACGTAGCATATTTCTTTCATATAGAGCCAACTTACACATTTGAATGAAGTAAATTTAAAACTTTTAAACATTTTTTTTTTCTGTGCAGGTTGAAAACATTAAATTCATGATAGTCAGTTTACCTTCCTTTTCTGCTTAGAAACTGGAGGTCACTTTTGTTTTGCTATGTTGACTGTCAGGTTTAAATATTAAAACATGAAAATGTATGTAAGTTTCAAGTTATCCTAAATTTACAGTCAAACTCTCAACTGATTCTGTGATTCTCTGTTAAGGCGGGTTAAGTTGTTTGGTTTGGTTCAGCAAGGGTGTGTGTGTGTGTGTGTGTGTGTGTGTGTGTGTGTGTGCGTGTGTGTGTGTGTGTGTGTGTGTGTATTGTATGCAGGTGTGTAGCGTGTGTCTCAGCTGGGTGTCATTGGTCCAGCAGTAGTAAACAGTGCAGCTGGTCTGATGGCTCTGCTTCACAGGTACTTATTCATATCTTATTCATTTTAATATACTATAATAACCTTGTAGATCATATTACACACTTATTTGTACTCCAGTGCTGAAAAATCCACACAGATTTAATTCATGGTTATTGTGCACACTATAGTAACTATATGTGTGGTCTTAAAATTTGGTTCAGTGAAATCATGTTTTTATACTATATTTTATTTGAAAAGTTCTGAGTGAAGAAAAACTGTTTTATTTTTATTACATTTAGGTGGCAGTGATGGTGAGTTAACAGTTACTAAATCACTTAAACTTCAAATTTAGCATTTTTGAATTCAGTGATTTAAACAAGACAAAAATCTATTTTAATACTAAAATGAAGTTCTTTCTGTTATTTATTTCCCTCCTCTGTAGGACGTGTGTGAAGGATTATCTTCTGGGAGTAATGCAGTAAGTGACCCACAGAACTGTTACTCACAGTGTCAGTGGAAATAAGATCTGTGTCTGGGGGAAGTTTAGGGTTTGAAAAGGGAACTAAGAATGAGAACATTCTTGTTTTTCAGCAAGAATCATAGTATGATGGCTCTATGATGGCATTTCTCTTTTGTATGTTACAGATTTTCTTCAACTAAAATAAGATTTATTTTTTTATTTTAATTTTTAATGTCATTCTTTTACTTTTATATATCAACAAATGTCAACAACACTGATGTTAAATAAATAACATTTCTGCACGCAGATGACACGGCACTTCCTAACTGGTTATTTGTACACATTGTAATGCAGGAGATTTCATATGAAGGGTTGATTTTATAGTTTCAAATATCTCTTTTTTATCATTTTTTCTAGCCAGAGATTTTCTCCCTGGAGCCTAATCAGGTCTCCTTTCATGGCAAAAAACATGCAGCGCTGAAAGGAAAAAATCTGGATCTGGTCGAGAAAATTCGTTTTCAGGGAGTCATGGAGTGCACTTCAAAGGAGTGAGTGTTCCCAGCAGTGTATTTATCTGTGTGTTTGTGTGTGTCTGTGTGAGTGTTTGTGTGTGAGTGTGTGAGTGTGTTTTCTGCATGCATAGTACGTTTGATTTGTGTCTCTGTGAATCTGCTGTTTTTCACCAGGACTCCAGTGTTGGAGCGCTCCACTGACACTCTGAAGTTCAGTATTCCGAGCGGAAATAAAGGAACTGTAAGGGTGTGTGTGGTGACAGCAGATGGCCGTTGTCATAGTAACGCCACCATCACTTATGGCACCCAGCCCACCTGTACTGGACTGCAGCCTAAAAACACCTGGGCCAGGTACAGCAGACACTGTATATCTTTGTGTAGAACCTGTTTCTACCCACATTTCTTAATTTAAATACTGTTTTTTTTTAAAGACGTGTGGTTCCTGTTTTAAGCTAACTAATGCACAATGACAAATCTGGCAAGATACTAATGCTTTTTCATTTCAAAACCATACACATCATAAAAGCTTCAAACATCTCTGATATGCATTGCATTCATCCATTTGGAAAGCAGAAAATGAAAAGGATTTAACTTTTAAAAATGCAGAACTCAGCAAACTGTGAGACACTGGAGGTCTGCGTTCTGGATGGCGAGACTAAATGAAAGTAAATTCATTGAGTGGCACGCTTACTTAGCTATCTCTACTGAGTTGTAATACACTGGTCTGGTCGAAGGAAAAGTTATCCATTTATTTAGACTGGAAAAACAACAGCAACACCCATTAGCCCTCATTCTGTAGCAGTCTTGAAGATGAAGAACAAGTTTTATTCCAGCACCAGCTAATTGTGTTTTGCTGTCTTCACTTCTCTTTTCTCAGTCTCTAGTAATTTTGACTATGTTTACACTTCGGCCGTTGACATTAGGCTGACAAATTACTTCTGTTTTATAAGTGGAAATGGGGCCCAGTGTTTCTTGATTTGTTTCAGCTAAAGCTTTGCTAATTTTGTCCTCACTTCCTTCTGTATCACTTCTAGTTGTCAGAATTCACTGGTTTCGTCCCCATCAGCTCCCACCTCTGCTGTTCTGAATCCTTTCTCTGATTGACTGAATAAGCGTTTAATGTTTTTCTTTCAGTGGTTGGAGGAAGATCCAAGTGTTGGGAAACAATCTGGAGTTTGTGGATGAAGTTACTGTTCATTCATCTCTCAAACCGATCACCCTCAACTCAGACAAGGTATATAAGTGTGCTTTGCTTGCTTATGAAGTAGATGCAACACAGGATGTCAAACAATGCGGATTTATGTAACTTGCAACAAGAAAAACAAAATGAGGGAAAACAGAAAGGCTCAGAAATGCACATATACATGGCAAACCATCCATCACTAATATTAAAATCTGATTTATCTTTCTGATTCTCTCAGACCTTTTGGTTCCACACTCATAATCAGAGAGAATACATGGACTCTGGGCCGTTCAGTGTCTCTCTCATAGTGGGAAACTCAAAAGTGGACTGTGTAGATAAGCTGTCTTACCTCCCAGATCCAGAATTCACCAGCTTCTCCACCTCTAAAGTGGACAGTGATGTGCTGGTCACCATACAGGTAGGGTCAGCATTTCTGTTGACTTTAATCATGTCCAAGATCTACGACGGCGTTTTAGGGCCACTGTTAATAAAAATAAAAATAGTAGACTTCGAGAATAAAGTCTTAATATTTCGAGAAAAAAAAGGGATAAAGTGGGCTAACTGTAGGGGTGCTATAACACGTTGGGGTCTCAGCTGCTGTACTGGCGCCGGAGTCCCACACACTCCTGTCACCCTGTCAATCAATCATTTTGATTATTATTCTCATTGTCTGTAAAAACGTCATGCCCTCTTTGAATGGCACAGAGATGTAGCCACTGATAGCCGTGTAGACAGATAGACAGTTTCCTCCGAGTCTGCCTGGTTCTTTCATGTAAATAAACACAGTTTCCTGCACAGCCGTTTACTATACTAATACCAGGCTGGTGCTGATGTGCCAGACAGGGAGACAGGGAGACTGAGTATTTCTTTATGGGTGAAATTGATATGAAAGTATAACTCCACCAGTTCCTCAATGCCCCTCATTTCAACATGAGGAGGTGCTACCTTCCCTTTGCAATGCCTTTGGCCACAATATTGCGACCTTTCCTGGTATTAATACCACTTTAATGTTGTAATTCTATGACTTTTTTCTCAAAGTAGTACAATTTTATTTGTGAAGTTTACTATTTTTATTTTTTATTAACAATGGTCTAAAACGCTGTCGTAATAATCACTATCAATCCATTAAAAATGACAAAAAAAAGAAAAAAAAAGTTTGTAAGTACCTCAGCAATAAGCATTATATGATTAACTGCTGGAACATGAGAGCCAAATTGCATGCCTATACATTTTCTCTGCTGTTTTGTACTTCATTCAGCTCAACAAGGGCTTAAAATAAGACGGATGATAATGAGGTGTCCTACAGTAAAAACTGTTTACTGTGTTATGAAAGTACAGTGCTTCAGGCTGAGTATGAGCTACAACATTTATTTTGAGTACTGCATCATTAAGGTTGTAATCTAGTTGTGGCCTGTAGTCCTTCGTTTGCAAGTGATTGTTATAAAATTAAACCGTATCTTGGCTCTGCTTTGCTTTGCTTTAATTCCACTAGAAAACAGATGACATGCTGAATATGAGTAGAGAAGAGATGATAGTGTGGGGGCTGCAGAACGAGAAGGAGTTTGAGTGTGTGATTGACACAATTAAGTCCACTGCTCTCACCTGCAGAATTGTGGGAGAAAATAGACGTGAAATCAGAGTGGACTCAATCAAGGTATGACCGTTCAGTCTGTTACTGCTTTAATGGATCAGTCCACCAAATTAGTTCAAACTGCAGTCCCGCAGTAACAAACTGTTAAAATAATTTAGTATTCAGGCCTCAGATAGTTACAAGGATTATGTTGTGATCCATTTTAAACCAAGGCACTAATTGAGATTAATAATAAGTAATATTAGCTTTTTTCCTTTTTTATTTCTTTTAAAGTGAGGTTGAAAAATTTAGTTTATCATGAATTTAATTTTTAAATAATACTTTCATAAATAAATAAGAATAAAAATAAATAACTTTATTCAAAAATGCTATCCCACATGTCACTACCGAAACACAAAAGGTTTTAGTCAATAGGTGGAGTCTTATTTCAGCCATGCCCCTATATTTTAGAGCAGGAAGTGAAACTGCATCCCCTCATGGCCACATCGTGAGCAGTTAGATCTCACTCATTTTAAATGTAACTGAATGAATGTAACTGCTCTTGCATTTAAGGTGGAACTGAAAATTGGTTTGCCCAAGAATTGAACTGCTGGGACATTTAAAATGGGACAGAATACTCAAAAAAGGCAATTCTAGCTTAAACACACAATTAAAGACATTTCATGTTTTACATGAAGCTTGTGACAGACATTAGCATAGATTTTACCTTGTAGCAGTTTCACAGTGACTCTTTTAATAGAGAGGCTGATGTAGAGCTGCCGCCATTATTTTTGGTTTCTAACAGTCAGCTGATTAGACTGTGGCTCGTATTCACAGTCAGTGACGTATCTAAAACTTCAGAAGGTGTAAAGTGACCTTTTTCTTACAAAATTCCTCTGTTACTTTGTAATTATGCTGATGGTTAATCTAACGTGTTAGGCCTTCTTTCAGCTCTTGAAGTTCTGAACAATAGGAGAGCTCGTTTAGCTGTATCTACCCAGATACCACACAGCAAAACAATTCCTGATTGACCATTTTCCCCATCAGTATTTTAAGAATTTCACTCTTTTGTTTGCATCCAAAACTTTGCAATGAAACAAGAGTAATACTGTAATACGTGCTGAGATTAAATACAAGCATTATTCTACTGAATAAAACCAACTAAATCACAGAAATGTATGTTTTAGTTCTAGTTTAGTTCTAGAAGCCCCTTAAGGTTCCCGTCTGCAAATTAGAATGTACTTTTACAGAGTCTTGCAGACTTTAATCTAAGCTAGCGCTCAGCTACAAACCAAACATCTGATTTCTTTAATCTTTTTCAGATCATGGTTGGCAATTTTACCAAATTTATGACACAGCATGGCATAAAGTGTTCGTGTGCACCTGTTGCAGTAGCCATTGTGATTCTTCTTGGTGTTCATGGTGAGTATTGAGCTGATATTTTTGTGCCAGGTGTGTCTGTGGTTACTGTCATCTGGTCTTATATGCTTAGTTAAAATGTATTTGTTTCTCTCTCTCTTTCTCTCTCTTTCTGTGTCTAGCTGGAATATTTATCAGAGGTGTGTTCTCAAGACACATGACTCAGATCTCAGGCAGATTTGAGTCGAGCAAATAATGACTTCAGACTCAACTTACCAAAATGAAAGAAAGACTTTTGGATTTTAACACCAGTGACTTGAACTCATAGTCACTGGTCAGAAATGCATAATAGGTTGCAAACAGGTGGACCAGAGACTCTGCTGACTGGATGCTAACAGAGGAAACACCTTAGCAACTTTGACAAACTGCTGCCTTGTGGTAGCGAAAAAAAAACAAAAAAAAAACTTGCTTACATCATATGTCCGTATCAGGACCTTAGACCAGTCAGAATTGTAATTGGGGGAGGCACTTAAAGGTCACAACACACCAGGCGTCACATCACTCAGCGCTGTATCCCATATGTCTTCAAAGGGAAGCGTCGGTTCTGTCAGACACGGCCATGTGGTGCATGACAGGTCTGGCACGTCGAGTCTGTGGGATGGGGTGTGTTGAAATATCGCAGGCCTTGGGGTTCAGTACACATGGGAATCCTTGTGTTAACAGACCGAATATTTATGTGTTAACACAAAATTATGTTTACGTGTTAACACAGGAATTCCCATGAGTTTTGAGCCCAAAGGCCTGCGACACAACTGGTCTCCGATACCGAATCTGAGCTTTATACAAATTAATCCAGTCAATGCGACGCTTCTACCCAATCAGGAGGCAGCTGGTGTTTGCGTTACTCGTGTCTGCAGCTCAAGGTATTAAACGCTGGTTCTGCTTTTTTAAACGTTTCTGTATGACAAGGAATACCAGCAGCAATAGCTAATATATTTAAGCACAACTGTTTACCTCCTAAATTTTATTTTTACAAGGTTATTTTTACAATTTAACCTTATTACCATTTTGGAAAATGTCAGCTTAAAGATGGATTCTACAGTGACTTTCTGATTATTCAAAAAGTAGAAGCATTACTTACGTAAATATCGACTTAGCAAGACTACATTTCAAATGGATTTCGCTGGGACCTCCCTAGAACACCCACATGCAGCCAACTGAAAGGGGAGGATGTGTTTATGTTGATGCACCGGAGCAGAATAAATGTAGCGTAAGTCAACGTGCAGTGGTGCTCACAACTCTGTTAGCTAGTTTTTTTTGGTAAACACACAAATGCTAATGGTAAGTTACCTCAGCTAACGTTATTAGCCTAGCCTTTTTCAGTACAGTCTGGCCCCACCAGACATCGCTGTGGAGCAGTGCACGACATGATCAATAATTCAGTATAACAACTTTTTCTTATTCTTTTCAGTAACATTTTTTTTCTTTGTAATCAACATTGTGGCACGTTTATTACAGATGACAATGGTAGGGCTGTCTGATACATTCCAAACGTCTTCCTGTACATGTTGCGTAAATGCGAGTATGCCTTGTATTTCTCCTAGTGGTCTTCGTTTGTTGAGCGTGGAGCCCGCTCATCAACGTTCTTTTTTAATCAGTACACAATGTTTTGTATTATATGAAACCGAATGTAATAAATGTAATGGATGCATAAATTCAGAATCTATTTTAATAAAACGTGATTTATACTGGCTGATATCATGTTTATTTTATATTCATACAAAATAAACTTATACTCATAAGTTGCCAAATTATATGAATACCTAAGATTATTTATTTATTTTAAGGTGTTTTATTTGGCCCCATTTGTAGCCCACATGAGCTAATACACACAGGGCCCTTATGGAGCTGATGGACAAATCTTTGTGGGCCCCAAATGTGTTGCACAAAGGGGGCCCAATTACTAGCCCATTGCTAACCCATGTGGGGCTCAAATGGATCATAAATGGGTCCCACCATTTACCAGTCTCTCAACCATTTTTTTTTCTCTTTTGATCTCTCTGCATTTTATGTTAAACCTGAATTCTGAGAATTCCCCCACCCATACTGCATGTATATACCCTAAGCGTCTAGTTAAAATTGGAAATATAGGATAAAATTCAAGATATCATTAATTTTACTAGAGATATTTTTTTAAGATGTAAGATAATCCACATGTATATGGAAGGAGAAAGTCAAAGGAAAATAAGTGAAAAAATGCATCAGTTCAAAGAAAAAAAAGATGGAAAATTAGAATTTTTTTTTCTTGGCTGAATTGCTTAGACTCTGCTATGGCATCAAGTGCAACAAAGCACTGGGTCTAAAGGTAGGCCCTTAAATACAGCCACGGTTTAAAGAGACACATAAGAGACACATAAAGAGACACATACACACAGCTTGGTGTATGTAAACTTTGACCCTCTGGAGCTCTGAAACAGTAATTTAAAGCTGAAATCAATCTATCTCTAATCGACTGCTTTAAAATTTCCCTACATTTTGAATGAAGTACATACCATAAGTGACTCGCCAAAAGAAAAATATGATAACATAATATGTAGGTCTTGTGTATGTGTGGGGTTTGAAGGTCTTTGATCTATCATATGGGAAACAAATGGATGACAAAGACAAAGACACATTTTTTGTGTTGGGCCACCTCGTGCTGCAAAACAGCTTCAGTGCACCTTGTAAGTGCAAACTGTACTGGAGGGATGGAGCAAGTGGGTTGAGATCTGGTGTCTAAAATTTCAGTCCAAATCTCCCACTGGTGTTCGATTAGGCTGAAATTTCATCACTGCGAAGGCCTTAGCAAATTATGTACATTGTCTTTATACTCATTAAAACATTCAGGAACTCCTCTTGCTCTGTGGAACAGGGCCCTGTTTCATGTTTTGTCATAAGATAAAGGAGATCAGGCAGAAGAACCTTGTATTGATTTACAGTGACCTTCCCTCTAGTGGAACAGGTGGACTCAAACTGTGCTAGCGTAACAGAGCAACTGATGGGTGGAGTTTTAACAGCTTTTGCATGGATCAAGTAAAAAGAAAAACACAGCCCCAATTGGAAAAATGCCATTTTGAGAGAGATGTATGTCTGTTTTTCATTCAGAAAATGTCAAATGGTTTATATTTCAACAAAAATCAAGATCCTTTCATCATATAAGCATTTCCTCACACACTTGTGATTAGGTTTTCTGCAATTAAAATATTGTAATGTGTTTTTAGAATTGTGTGTTTTCCTACACCTGTCCAGGGTGTATCCTGCCTCCCGCCCAATGACAGCTGGGATAGGCTCCAGCTCCCCCGCGACTCAGAAGGATAAGCAGTTTAGAAAATGTGAGTGTGTGGTTTTTCTACTCATTGTTGTCTGCGAGTTAAGGCAGAAACTTTGTTAATTATTGAGCGAGATCATGAATGCTAGTTATTCACAGAACTTCCAGTCAGTTTTTATTGAACTTTACTGCATTTGGATGCATGTAGAAGTGCTGGCGCTTTCATTCAAGATATGATAATTCTATTTGATTTGATAGCAAAAGTAGTGCAATAGAGCTGTTGCAGTGAGAGTGCATGACGTCCATTAAAGGGGTAGCATGCAGATTTTATTACTTAGAATAAGTGGTGGGCGATATATCAAAAACAGAACCAGTAGGGCTGCATTTTTGCATCTGTGATCACAATAGTTTTCATTAAGTTTTTTGCTTACTGTGAGTAATAAACCCAGGTGTACAGGACTAATTCTGCTCACTTTAGAATGAAACATGCAGTTGGTCAGTGCTCTATGTACTGATGATATCCATGATATGTTCAGAAAAGCATATTGTATTGTATTGTGACATAATTTATCAAAATACTGATATATATTGTCATGTTGTCCAGCCCTACTTAATATATATGTATTTTATGTTTAATTATTAATTAATTAAACATAGTCTTCTTTGAAAAGCAGAATAGAAGTCGCAGCTGAATGAGAGAGAAAAATTAGCACAGCCTGTTTATTTGCCCTGTGTGTTGACTGTAGTGATGACACCAACACATCAGCTTGGGGGGAACAGGCATTTATCAGCGTGCATAAAGAGCACACATCTGACTCATCTGACCACAGCACTTTTTTTCTACATGTCTGAACACCAGTGGTGCTTGTGGTTTTACACCTCTGAACTCTCAGATGTATTTGTGGACAGACTGTTCTCACTGACCCAGTCCGATCATGTCCTGCACTGACATTCTCAGCTGAGGAGCAGCTGCTCTTCCATTTACTTCCACTAATGCATGAGCAGAGTGAGGAGGGTTAAATGAATAGAGTTCGGGCCCAGAGGCGTTTCTGGATTCTGTTTATTTGTGGTTTCTTCTTTGCATGGTAGAGTTTTAACTTGCATTTGTCGATGCAATGATGGACTTGGTTTACAGACGATGTTTTTCAGAAGTGTTCCTGAGACCGTGTAGTGATTTCCACTGCAGAATAGCGTTGGGGGGAAAAATCAATTCTTAGATGCATCAAGGTGTGGACGTGGACGATTCTGAATTGATTCACAAATGTCAAAATGCGATTTTCTAAATTTTAATTGATAACGTAATGTTCACAGAACGCAAAAGGCAGAACTTTGCAAAGCACAGAAGTGCAGCGCCCGGACAGTCTATGGCGTACACACTACATTAAAAGCTAGGTCAGGAGTCACAACCCAACTGTTAACATTAGTAATTTTGTCTTTTCAACAAAAATCAAACCACCTTGGGAGCCATCTTGGCTGTATATGTGTCTCAGCACATGCTAATGTCCTAGTGTAGGGTAGAAATATAATACAACCAAAACGCAGACTACCTTTACGCTCTACTTTAAGCTGTAGCTCAGCTGTAGCTGCTTTTCTTGCATCAATAGCTGGAAACCTTTCCACAAAAGTAGAACAGTTTCTTGTAAAAGTGCCTGAGGCGCCAGAATGTAACTGCTGCACCATTTAAGGTGGAAGGGGAAAATTCAAACAAGAAGCTGGAGAACGAGAAACTGACTTCAGTTTCACGTGTTTTTGTAGTGTTTGACAGTGTTGCAGATTAAATGTATCAAGAAACCAACTGGAGTGATTATAAATGCAAATAAGTCCATTCGTCTCCAAATTATGGATGTTCGTCTTAAATCTTTCTATTTGGCTTTTCATTAGCTACTGGCTAGGTGAACTAGCAATAAAGGCTACATTAATTCTAGCGTTTAAGATTATTTATTGTTAAAACTGTGCAGAGCTTTATTTTACTGCAAATGATGATTATTTTAAATAAATCTAATTCTGATGTCGAGCCACACCAGGCCCTA